GTATCTTTTTGAAGGACAGACCTTCAAAAACCTTCAAGGAGACAGACCTTCTCCTCCCTAGGAAATGCCCGTTTGCATTTGAAAGGCATCTCTGCCATCAGGCAATGCAAATAGGCTATAAAACCCCACTCCCCACCCTGACCCACGGGATCACCGGTTTCCGGGTCCCCTTGCATTCTCCAATGTGCAGTTTTTTCTCTTCTGTTCTCTACAGATAAATTCTCTACAAATAAAATCTTTCCAACCTCTGCTGTTAGAATCTGTCTGTGCTTTCATTCTCAGAGCAGGCTCAAGAACCCTGAGCACCTGAAATCATTTTTATTTATTTAAAAAAATTTTTTTTTATTGACACTGATTTTATTGATTGAATCTACACTGCCAGGGTAGAGACTGTGGACCCTATCTGAGAAGAAAGCAAAAAGGGCCGGGGGGTTTGGCTCAAGTGGTGAATGCCTGCCTAGCAGGGACAAGCACCCCAGTGCTGCCGAAAACAAGTAAGAGGCTGCAGCATGAGCTCAAGGAGAGGAGCAACTGAGTGCAGGGTGCAACCATTTATTATTTATTTATTTTGGTGGTACTGGGATTTGAATTCTAGGCTTTGTGTTTGCTAGACAGGCGCTCTGTTGCTTGAGCCACACCTCCAGCCCTTTTTGTGTAGGTTATTTTGGAGATGGGGTCTTGCTTTTTGCCCAGGCTGGCCTGGAATGCCATCTTCATATTTTCGCTTCCCATGACAGCTGGGATGACAGGTGTGCACCACCACACCCAGCTGTTGGTTGAGATGGAGTCTCACAAACTATTTGCCCAGGCTGGCCTCAAACTTTGATCCCCCTGACCTCAGCCTCCCAAATAGCTAGGATTATAGGCATGAGCCACTGGCACTTGGCAACGTGACTGATCCTTAAACAGGCATCCTTACATCTTCCTAGTTTGTGGGAGAAGAGAGTGCTAACTGTCCATTCTCTAGCTAGGGGAACTGAATCCAAGAGAAAGGACTGGCTCTTTTGTTTTGAAGTAGCATCTCTCTCTGTAGCCCAGGCTGATCTCAAGCTTGTGATCCTCCTGCCTCTGCCTCCTGAGTGCTGGTGATATGGGGTGGGCAGATAGAAGGGAGGGACACAAAGGAGCCAGGGAACAGGTGCAGCACACACCCAAGTACATTTTGTCAAATAGTCAACAGTCCCCAGCGACAACCTCAACAGACAGGGACTTTCCCAACTCTAGAGGTCAGTCAGAGGCCTCATCTACATCTCATTAAAGCTGTGGTTTCATGCACGCCCCTCCCCTCAAATTGCCACCTGGGCTCTGAGGACACCTTATTAGGTAAACCAATCCCCATCCCTGGTTCTTAGAAATGCCCTCCCATTCCTTGGGAACCTCAACTACGAACAAATCCTTAGCCTAGTCACTAAACCCTGTCCATGAAAGTGCCTACAGCTGAGGGCTCAGACATGTGACCTCTTGGTCACACTGCCTGCCCTATTTCCTTCGGAGGTACTATGTGAATCCTGACCCTCCCCATTCAGTCAACACCTATCTGAAACCTCTCTACTGGAAGCCTTTTCTGGTTCTCTCTGGCATTGATGCATTCGGGTTGGCCCCCTCAAGCATATTGCTTATGGCTCTGCCCATCTCGTGTCCTTCCAGCCACCCATCCATTTGTCCAGCAGACACAGGACTCTGCTATGTGCCTGCCCTGTGCCAGGAGCAGGGCTGCTGGGGACTGTGCAGGAGCCCCCAGAACCTACAGAGATGGGATCTTTGTGTTACGGGTTGAATTGTGACTTCCCACCAAATTCATGTGTTGAAGTCCTGACCTCCTGTGCCCACGACCTGCATGGATACGCTCTGTGAACCTGACAAAGAGCGGTGGGAATGAGAAATAAGACACACACAGACATACAGACATAACACAGAAAAGCTGGGGACGGGAGGGCTGCACATTCCTGATGGGAAACGTGAGCCCCTACCTGAGCCAGAGTGTTTATTTTATAGGTCAGTACAAGGAAAAGACTCAGGTAAAAATCAAGCTTCAACAATTCTTGATGCAAGGTGAAAGGAATGAGGTTTGGTGGGCTAATTTTCCTAAGGCTACAGAAGCTTAATTACAACACATCAGTTCTGGAATCATCAAGGCACACAGCACACCTTTTCTAAGGTATTGATTAATCTGGCATCAGGGAGTTTCCTAACAGTTCTGGTACTTTATCTAGTTTCGCATGGGGCCGGTATGCAGACACAGCAGGTTGTATTCTTCAAGGAGATGTGAGAACAAAGGTCAAGACACCAGGTACTGGGAAAAATATGGCAGAAGAGGCTGTGCAAACTTCTACATGGAGAGGCTGTGCAAACTCCATTATATCCCAGTCCAGGGTTCATGCCTGGTCTCCAACACTCCTGCACCTCCTCATGGAACTTTATTTGGAAATAAAGTCATTGCAGATGTAATGAGTTAAAATGAGATCACTGGGATAGGTCCTAATCCAGTATGGCTAGTCTCCTTATAAAAGGGAGAAATGTGGACACAGACAGACATGCACACAGGGAAAGTGCCATGGGAAGGAAGATGAAGGAGCACCAAAGGTGTCAACGGAGCACCAGAAGCCAGGAGAGAGCAAGAGACAGATTTTCCCTCAGTCCTCAGAAGGAGCCAACCTGCCAACGCCTTGACCTTGGACTTTTAGCTCCCAGAACTATGAGACAATACATTTCTGTTGTGTCTCCCAAGGTCGTGGTACTTTGTTACAGCAGTCACAGCATAACTAATACACTCCAGGGGAGCCCCCTGATCTGGACTGGGAGGTTGGGAAAGGCTTTCTGGAGGAAGTGATACGGAGTGGGGCACTGAAGGATGGGTAGGCGTTTATCAGGCAGAAAAGTCAGGGAAGAACATTCCAGGCAGAGAGGGCATATGCAAAACCCAGGAGCCTCTTTCTTGAACCTCTTTGAATTTCCCTATTTCCACCTGCCCAAGTACCTGAGGTTTGCTAAGTCCTTTGCTTCAATGGACAGTGTTTTACCAGGAGGCCTCTTGGGCTCAGGTGGTGCTGTGCATCATTCTCACCAGGAGGGGGCGCACACATGAGCATCTCCATGAAGGAATGGCTAGGTGGGCAAAGTGACCTAGATTGATCAGGAGAGAGGTACAGCCAACCCTGGAGAGGCTAGGGCAGCTCTGTGCTGGCCAGGGCCTCCCAGAGTCCCACAGGAAACACACCATCATGGGAGAACCGACACTCAGACATGTGGCTCTCAGTACAAGTACTTTATTTTAATTACAATAGTGCCACACCAAAACTACAGTAGCACAAAACATAATAATACAAAACATAGATTCCCAACTCCAAACCCCACATCTGTGTACCCACAGGGAAGGTGAGGGGTCTCTCTTTAGGGCCTGAGGGAGGGGTCTCTCTGAGCGCAGCTGCCCGTCTCACCTCCACCTTTCTTGAAGCTCTGGAGGGGTAGTGGGAGCAGGGTGGGGTGTTGCCTCTCTACCCACTGTTCCCTGCTGGGCCCAGGCCCTCATCTCCGCCTGTCCCTGCCCACCCCGCACACCCTGAGCAGTAAGTGCAGTCTAGTTTCCTCAGGCTGGACCCCAGCCCAGGATACGTGCATCTGGCCGGTGGCACTGACCCTTTGCAGGAATGCCCATCCATGGGGAGGCAGGCAGGTGGGGAAGAGGAGGCAGGAGGACCTGGGTGGGGAAGGTCCTCCTGTGTGGCAGTTCCTGTCTAATTTTCCTGCTGAAGAGTTACCAGCCCTTGAACTTGTTTGCTGGCCTCCCTGCCAGTTCTGAGGCTGACCCAAAGTTGGCAGGACCATCGCTGTAGTCTGTGCTTCTTGGGCACGGAGGACTCTGGCTTCCTTGGCAAGGGGCTGGGCACTGTGGGGGCACTGACTAGCTGCCCCGCCCCATTTACAGGGGTGTGGGGACTATACTGAGGGTCACCTGGTGGAACTCATGCCTCTGCTGTCTGAAGAAGACATGGCCTTAGGGAGCAGACATCATTTCTGGTCCTCAGAAGCTGTTGCCCAGATTTAGTTGGGGAGCTCTTTGCTCACAGCTCCCTCTGGCGCTCAGGATCCCCAAAGGAGAAAATCCATCTAGCTACTGTTTGATTCAACCATAGGGGTTGCAGGTGGCTGGAGTCCAGGGCAGGTGGTTTCCAACTCCTGGTGTCTAGAGCTACTCCCTGCAGGCCATAGCTTCTGGGGGCTGTGTGGAGTGGCCCAGGGGGTCTGGGAGTGGGGGTTTGGTTTGGGGTTCCAGTCAGGACACTTGGGGGCTTCAGTGAGAGGCTAAGGGCGGGCAGTGGTTGCCTCCTTGGTGAAGCCCAGGAGCCACAGCCTCGATAAGGCACTAGAGAACCGGTCCTGGAGCCAGGCCAGGCTGGTGGTGCGGCTCGGAGCTCAGAGGGAGGATGTGGACCCATAGGAGATGAGTGCTGTTTTCTTTTTCCTTCCCCTGGGGAGAAGGGTCAGCAAGGCAGACCACTTCAGGATAGAAGCCTGCAGGAGGGACCAAAAGAGGACAACTGTGGACAACAGTATGGATCTGATGGCGGAGTGTCAGCTCTGAGGGCTCCTGTGGCCCAGATTCTGGGAGCTCAGGTGTCCCTAGGTTGTGTCAAAGGCCCTGACCTGGCCTCATTCTGCCACAAGCATCAGTCCTGCTGTGACTTTGGGGGTCAGCTGTCCCCTTTGCTGGGGTGCCCATGGTTGGACTAGAGACAGAGGCAGGCAAGCCCAGGCAGGCTGTGCCTGTGAGCAGGGGTCCCCTCTGCCCCCACCCATCTGCATGGGTGACTGCAGAAGCAGCAACAAGGCTGCAATGCACATCCCAAGGGTGGGGCGGCTGTCAATCTGTGGGCCTGCTCAGCGGCCTAGGGGGGGGTCCCTGCCTCAGTCTAGCCCTGCAGGAGGGTAAGTCAGTGGGGCTTCCTTTGTTCACAGGACATTTAGAAAAACAGAACATAATAAATATACCAATCCTTTCCCTAAAAAAAAAAAAAAAAAAGTGTTTGAAATGCATTTTCCCTGAAGATTTCCAGTGTATTCCACTATGTTTAAAAAATAGTTTCCCCAAAAATATATCTTTAAAGCATTTGACACAGTGGTATTGTGGTTATCTGGCATTGGATGTGGGCAAGGGACTGTGTCCCATTGTCCTTGTCGGTATGAGGCCGGGGCCTGGTGAACCAGCAGCCTGACACCTAGATGCCTGCTAGAGCTGGCACCAGCACGTCTGGGATGATGGGTTTGCAGAGGGGATGAAATCTTGGGTTAGGTTCAGAACCTCTATCACAGGCTCGGTACCAGCTGCAAACCCTCCAGTGCGGGGCAGGGGACCTGGGTGGCCAAGGGGCTGAGCGGTGGCCTGGAAGCTGGAAGGAAGCAGTCTCCCAGCGCCCCCTGGGGGCCGGGCCTCAGCCCCTTCCCCTCCTGTCTTGGCTGTCTGTGCTCGGCCCTTCACCAGACTTCACATTTGTGAGGAGGGTTCATGGGGGAGCCAGGTAGGCAGCGGAAGTGCTCCGAGAACTCCTTGGAATTGGAGAGCGAGCCGATGACTCGGAAGCGGGAAGGGCTGTGGGGGTCGGTGATGAGGCCTTCGTGGGAGCTCTCGGGCGTGCGGACTGAGCACCAGACCTTTGGGAGGCAAGAGGGAGAGGCTGGCATCACTCGGTGCTCTGAGGCTGCCTGGTTGGCCCCATCACAACAGCAGTGAAATGAGACCCTACCTGGTTCTGAGATCCCAGGGGGTGAGAAAGGAGAAAGAGGACCAGTGTGGCCCCAGGCCCCCATGCTCTCAGGCAGCCCCCCCTCCACGTCGTGTCCCTCCAGCTGAGCAACATCTGTCTGCCTGACCATTCACTGGAACAAGGGTTCTGAAAACCTGATTTAGTCCACACCTTTTATGTGCTGGGCAGGACAGTCTATCTAATGGCCTGGGAGTTCTGGGCATTAACAGAAGTTATCAGCTAGCAACTGATAACGACATATCTAGGGTTAAAGAAATTTCTAGAATCCTAAAATCAGAAGGGACCTTGGCAATCACCTTGTTCTATGATCTAAGGATGCAGGATCCTTTTATTAGTCTCCTGGGCCTTCCTTGACTCTCCCTCATGACTGCAAGCATGGTTTCCTCACAGGGTCATGTACTGTAGACGGTTCAGTGGGTGCAGAAGGCAGCCATCCATTTCAGGGGGAGCTTTTGGGCCAGCCCAATGGTGCCTGTGTTTGCATTTTCTCCTACTGAGCTCACCTGTGCAAATCCCAGGAAGAAAAGCTGGTTGTTGGTGAGACCCAGGGCAGGCAATGTCTGCTCGGCGCCATTTTTCTTCACCCAGTTCTGGTAAGCCTGGAAGGAGAGAAGAGCAGGGCTCAGTGACTGTGCAACACTGACCCACAGGAATGGGACCATGTGCCAGCTTTTGGGAAGCACTGCCTGCAGGGCAGGGACTGGGCCTCAGCTCTGCCCTGAGGAGCCTCTTCCTTCTCTTCTGTCACTGGGAAGGGGAGCACGTTCATCCCCACGGCCTGAGATACCACCTTAGTGCTGCTGGCTTCCAAAGTCATACTTTTGGCTACAGCCTCTTGCAGACTTGTATATTCAACCACCCGAGCTGGACATCCAAGATGCATCTCAAACTTAACATGGCACAAACAGAATGACAGGTCACCCTCCCAGGTTTTCCCTCATAGTCCATGGCACCATCTCCTACCTAGCTACTCAGGACACAGACAGAACCTTCTCTGGTTCTTCTCTTTCAACCAAAGCCAACACTCCATCTGACTGCTTCTCACCTTCCCTTTCCTCCTGCCCAGCGTCCTCGACTAAACTGATCCAGTTCTGACCCTTCCTCATGCAGCAAGACCTAAGTGGCCTTCTGAAGAAGGCATGGCAGCTCCAGCGGGCATCTGGGTGTCAGGCTGGTGGTTCACCAGGCCCTGGCCTCACACTGACAAGGACAATAGGATACAGTCCCTTGCCCACATCCAATGCCAGAGGGCAATATTTCTGCTTTGTGGGCTGAGTCCCTGCTGTAACTATTCAACTGCTTTTATTTATTTATTTATATTTATTTGCAGTACTGGGGTTTGAACTCAGGGTCTACACTTTAAGCCACTCTACCAGTTCTGTCCTTTTCTTTGTGTGTGTGTGGTGAGTTTTTTCGAGATAGGGTCTCACAAACTATTTGCGTGGACTGGCTTCTAATCATGATCCTTCTGATCTCTGCCTCCTGAGAGGCTAGGATCACAGGTGTGAAACACTGGTGATTTTTTTTTTTTTTTTTTTTGAGACACAGTCTCACTATGCTGTCCAGGCTGACTTCAAATTCACAATCCTCCTGCCTTAGCCTCCCAGTTTGTTGGGATTAAAGGTGTGCACCACCACACCCCACTGTTCTAATATAGTGCAAAAGAAGCCACAGATAACATATAAACACGGTTATGGGTGTGTCCCCCAAAACTATGAAAACAGGCTGGGGGCTGGATTTGGTCCACAGACTGGAAGCTTACTGACCTCTTTTAAAGATAAATGAGACCCTGACAGTGTGCATTTAAGAACCCCATGGTGGCTCTCCACTGTAACCACAGAGCCCCGAGAGCTGGGTCCCAGCTGCTGCCCTGCAGCCCAACTGTGCTTGGGTCACGTCCATCTCATGGCCTCTGCACCTGCTCTTCCTCTGTGGACACTATTTCCCTGCTTTTCTCCTGCCCCTTCTGATCAGTAAGGTCTTAATTCAATGTCAAATCTTCTAGAAGGCCCTTCCCCACCCCCTATCCTTCTTGGCCCTATTTCACACTCCTCACCTTCTCAGCCCCTCACACACACTCACTTTTTGTGGGGTGCACTTATTGTCCCCCCTCTGCCTCTGTGAATCCTAAGCTTTCACGGGAGCCTCTCTCATCTATCTGCCATACACCCTCCAGTGCCTAAAGGATATCAAGAGGAGGGCAGAAGGTTCTCAATGCATGCCCACTGACTGATGGACTTTACTCAGCGATGAGCTCAGTTCAGCTCTCCATCTGCAAAACTGGGATTTTTAACACTTAAGTATGAAGTTGTGGGCTTCACAACTTCATTGGGGTGTAGCTCAGTGGTAGAGCACTTTCCTAGAGTACACAGGCCCTGGGTTCCATCCCCAGAGTGCAAAAAGAAACAAATATTTGTAAAGTTGTTGGGAAGTAATCCAAGCCTACACATCGTAAGACCTCAATAAATGGTGGCTGTCAGCATTTCTGCTCTTCTGGTCACAGGTAGGAGCTAAGACTCCTTGCCCAGCCTCCTTCGTCTCTCAGCCTGTTCTCTCTCACGGAGCTTGGCTCATATCTCCCAGGGCCTCTCTTATTTTAATCTTCCCAATGCTCCATGGCGTGAGGGTTAGTGAGCCACAGTCAAGAAAACTGCAGCTCAGGTTAGTGGCTTGATCCAGAACCGGGATTTGAACCCAGAACTGGTTCCACGCCTAGGGTTCTCCTCCCTCCCTGCTCTCCTGCTGCCTGAAGTATAGTGGCAGGTTCTGTAGGTGGAGCCACCTTAGGCCTCCCTTGTGTCTCTGGCAGGCTCTAAGCAGGAGCCTTCTGTGTGCCAGGCCCAGCTCTGCACCAGCTGTTTTCACAGTCAGCTATCAATGAGTCCTCCCAGACCATTTCCCAGATGGGGAAACTGAGGCATGCAGAGTGGCTGTGGTTTCCCCGGGGTTGTTCATAATGATCTTCTACTGATGAGGCATCTGAACAGACCCAGCCCTGGGATGGGGCCCGTGGGCATCACACACACCCGGTAGGCTGCCTTGAGGCCTCCGTTGTCGGCGATGTTCTCCCCGAGGGTGTGCCGCCCGTTCACCGGCTCCCCGTTCACGCTGTAGTTGCTGTACTGCTCTACCATGCACTCAGTCTGCTGCTTGAAGGCCTCCACGGACGAGTTCTTCCACCAGGGCCGCAGGTTCCCGTCCTTGTCGTACTCCCGGCCTGCAGAGGGAGGGAGGGGAGCAGGGGCACAGTGGGACCACTGTCCCCAATGGATCGCTCCTGTCTCCTCTCACTGGGAAGTGGGTTCATCCACCTCCCTCCCCCAAAGGGGAAAGGACATCCATCCATCCATCCACGTGCTGGAGGCCTGGCCACCAGTGTGGTGTGTTCAGGGGGTCAGTGGAGTGGGCTGGTTTTCAGCACTGGATAAGGGTTGCCAGTGCTGAGGAATGGCTGCCTAGCAAGGGCCACTGGTGCCAGCAGCAGCAGGATCACATGGCAGGGCCTGGCCTCAAGGGCTCTGCCTCATCCTTCTTGGCTGCAGGGTCCCCAAGACTCTGGCAATATGGAAGATTCTGGACATTAGCTGGTAAGGAGGGCCTCAGTTAAGCTCTCTGACTGCATTCAGACCAAAGAAGTCTCTAGAATGCTGAAGAATGTACACTCCCCAGTGACGAAGAGTACCAGCACCCGTGTGCAGGAACACTCCATGTAACCTTCCCGATCACCACATGATATCATCTGCCCATTTTACATACAAAGAAGTGGAGGCTTGCCAAAGCCCATTCAGCAGGTGGCAGGGCCAGGATTCAAACCCTGTTCCTTCTGTCTCTAAAACTGAGATCCTTGGAAGTGAAAGGACCAGTAAGCAGAGGCAGGGGGTCCAGAAAGTTGATGGGCTCCATCTGAAGGGGACCTCAAGGAACCCCTACCTTGATCATCAAAAGCATGAGTCAGCTCGTGGCCCACGACAACGCCGATGCCGCCAAAGTTTAAGGCCCTGGAAGAGGGACATGAAGGTGAAGGGATGCCTCAAGAGGGCCTCTGGCGCAATGGAGTGCCACAGCGCTTGGTGGGGTATGGCCCCTGGAGCCAACAGGAGGTTGGGCCAAGTCTGGGACCAACTGGGCACCAAGCATGGTGCTGAATGCTCTGCAGACTGCACTGTCCTTTCAGTGGTGTCGGCGGAGTCAGGCTTAATTATAAATGAGCAAACCAGGGCTGGCTGGGTCAACTAGTTTGCCCAAGCACCACACAGCAGCTCACCTGGGATTCAAACCCAGGACTGTGGATTTCACTGCAGGGTCGATGCCCTCACCCCCCCAACTCCACAGCTCTGACTGCTTTAAATGGCCAGGAGCAGCGTTTCCCCGACTGGGGCTTTTGACTCCATGGTGCATCCCTTTGCCCCAGCAGGCTTTCTAGAGACAAGAGACCTTGGAGGGGGGATGGGGACAAGAAAGCTTCCTTTTGCACCTTCTCTTATAGTCTCAGGTCACCTGAACCACTAGGGCACAGATGGCTCAGGGAGAATGGCTTGGTCAAGTGGTCAGTTGGGGGAACAGGGCCAGGCTGCACTGGAGTGGTGGGGGGGAGTCAGAGTGACAACACCAGAACAGCTTACTTGGGTGAGGAGCGGGTGTAGAACGGCGCCTGTAGGATCCCAGCTGGAAACACAATCTCGTTTTTGGTGGGTGAGTAGTAAGCGTTCACCATGGGTGGGGTCATGCTCCACCTGGAAGGCACACACACAGGTGAGATCAGGCGCAGCTGAAGGGAGGGCAGATGGGGCAGCCCAGGCGCTGGGATCAAGGACCTTAAAAATGGGGCGTGGTGCACGACGATTAGTTCCAGCTACGTGGGAGGCAGAGGTAGGAGGATCATGGTTTCCAGGCCAGCTGGGCAAAAGTATGAGCCCCTATCTGAAAAACAAACTAAGAGCAAAAGGACTGGAAGTGTGGCTCAAGTGGTAGACTGCTTGCCTAGCAAGGTCAAGTTCCTGAGTTCAAACCCTAGTACCACCAAAAAAACCCAAAAATTAAGATGTTATTTGCCTTTGCTTGTGTTGACACTTGTACAATGACACATAAACAACATTCTCACTTAGAACATCCTTGAAGATGTAGGATGATTACTAACTTTGGAGCCCCAGAGGACGTCTTTTTCAGTATTCTGTGTGATCAAGTGGGAAACACCCACACAGCACTTCTGTTTCTTTCTTTCTTTCTTTTTTTTTTTTTTTTGAGACCAGAAGATCTTACTGTATAACTCAGACTGGCCTGGTCCAGGTCCTTCTGCCTCAGGAGTGCTGGGATTACAGACCTAAGCCACCATGTCCGGCTTTCCACTAGTCTTTTTATGGAATACCATTTATATTTTAAGGACTACTGACAAGCTATGGAATTTCAAACTTGGATACAGGGCAGACATTTTCTTACAAATGAACAAAGTGAGCTTATCACCTCAGGGAAGACAACTGACACCACTTGTTGCCAATTATAAAAATTTGAGGTTTCAAAAAAAATTAAAATTTCAAAACAAAAATAAAAAATTTTGAAAAACTTGTATCGGCCACCACAAATCTACAGCTTCCCAGCACTTAAAGGCTCTTTCACGAGGTTAGCAGTGATATCAACAAACATGGACTCTATTACGAATCTATTACTTGCTATTGTCTCTGACTGGTGTGTGATATTACAAAGCTGTGCTTGCGGAAACAATCTGTTCAAAGTGCAAGGTGGCCAGTGGATCTCAGTGGAGCCGAGCATGAACAGGTCACAGGAATGGCTTCAGATTCCACATTACATTCACCTTTAAGAAATTACCACTGGGCCTGGGGCTGTAGCTCAGTGGCAGAGCGACTGCCTGGCATGCACTAGGCCCCTGCCCCCAAAGAAGAAAACTAAAACCAAAAGTCACTTGTCAAGTTTTGACGTAGCAGTATCACTTAGATATTCCTCCCTTTCCAACCATTGAGTCTATGTGAGGCTACATTTTCTCTACATATTTCAAAAAACACATTACAACAGGTCGAATGTAGAAGCAGATATGAGAATCTAGCTGCCTTCTCTTAAGCCAGCTATTAAAGAAACTTACAGGGGCTGGAGGTGTAGCTCAGTGGTGGAGAAAGGCCCTGGGTTTGATTCCTAGCACTGGAAAAAAGAAAGAAAGAAAAAAAGAAAGGGAAGGAAGGAAGGAACGAAAGAAAAACTTGCAAAAGGTAAAATAACACCTCTCTTCTCACTAAATTTTTTTGAGAAAATAGCTATTTTTTTCATAAACTTGTCATAAAATGAATACACCTTTGTTAAAAAAAAAAAAGAGCTTTTGAAAAATTCAGAGTATGGAAGGGTCCTAAGACCAAAAAGTTTGGAACAGTATAAAGTGAAAGAAATATTTGAGGCCAGGCACCTGTGGCTCACGCCTGTAATCCTTGCTATTCAGGAGGCAGACATCAAGTTGTGGTTCAAAGCCAGCTGGGGCAAATAGTTTGTGAGACCCTTTCTCAGAAAAACCCTTCACAAAAGAGGGCTCAAGGTGTATGCTCTGAGTTCAAACCCAGTACCACAAAAAAAAAAAAAAAAAAAAAAAAAGAAAGAGAGAAAGAAAGAAAGAGAGAAAAAGTACTATTTGAGGCCAGGCACCTGTCATCCGGGTTTGAGGTCAGCCTGGACAAATAGTTCATGAGACCCCCCATCTCCAAAATAACAAGAGCAAAATGGACTGGAGGTGTGGCTCAAGTGGTAGAGAACCTGCTTTGCAAGCTCAAAGCCCTGAGTTCAAACCCCTGTCCTACAGAAAATAAATAAATAAATAAATAAAAATAAATATTTGCCATTGCAATGATTTTCCTGGTGAGAAAATCATTTCTCAGTGAGAAACAAGAGCAAGAGAGAGACAACATTTTTCCCAGGGGCCCAGATGGTCTCTCTGTGTCTTTCAGGTGAGCCCTACAGAGATATATTTTGGGGCGTCCCAAAGCCTTGTAAAGATAATAAGAAATTTAAAACATCATATTTATATTCAAAAAGTCACAGGTATATTAATGGGTAGATGACAAAATTTATATGAAAAACTTTGAGTAAAAATTTAAAAATTCAAATGGCTGCACACAGGGGCTCCAGCCTAATTCTCGGGAGGCAGAGACTGGAAGAATCATAGTTTGAGGCAGGGATGGAGGTGAAGTTTGCAGGACCTCGTACAACTAAGGGCGGGGCAAAAGGATGCAAACCTGGCAACCCAACTACGTGGGGAAGCACAGATCGGAGGATCACGGGCCCAGCTGGCCTGGGCTTAATGCAAAAATAACCATTGCAAAATCAGTTGGCAGAGTGGCTCAAGTAGTACAGCGCCTGTCTCGTAAGTGCAAGGCCCTGAGTTCAAATCCCAGTAACCCCCTCAATTAAAAAACTCCGATAAGTTGGCAGCCACGTCTGCGCAATATTTTGAAGATTAAAAAGTCCCCTGGTATGTTTTCGGATGTAACCTGCGCGAAGCCGGGAAAAGGAAACCGATGTTTGAACCTCTATTGTCCACGAGGGGGCGCCGGAGGCACAGAGAGGTTGCTTTCACCTTCTGTTATCCTGTTTATTCTGCAGTGTTTTGGGCATGGGGAGCCTGGTTGAGGAACAGCTCCGGTCTGACTACATCTCTCTGAGGCGCTAGGTCTTTTTGTTGTTGTTGTTGTTTTGTTTTGTTTATTGTTTCTTGAGGCAGGCTCTCACTACGTAGCCCAGGCTGGCTTTAAACCCTATCCTCTTGTTTCAGCTATCTGAGTGCTGGGATTACAGGCGTGAACTGCCACTCTCAGTCTTGTTTTCTTTTTCAGTCTGGGCCCAGGGCCTTGCAAATGCCAAACAAGCACTTTATCACATGCCAGACCAAGAGACTTGAGGTGGAGGCCAGCCTGGGTCACATCGCAAGATCACATCTCAAAAAACAAAACAAAACAAAATCCAGATCTTGCTTAGGGTGGTGCATGCCTGTAAACCCAGTCCTGGGGAGGCTGATTATGAGTTCAAGGCTGGCCTGAGCTACATCATGAGACCCTGTTTCAAAAAAAAAAAAAAAAAAAGAAGTCAGGAGAAGACATGCACATGCAGGCACGCAGCATGGAAATCTGTAAACCATATACAGAGTGTTTTGTGTGGTGCTGGGGGTGGAACCCAGCGCTGGCTAGGGCTGCCATTTTGCTACACCCCAGGCCCCGTATTTCTGAAGAAGTTCCCAGGGGATGCTGCTGCCGGGGCCGCTCCAGGATCTTCTCCGGGCCTCTGTGGGAGACCTGTCCCTGAGAAACCACCCCTCCTGTTGGTAAGGACTCAGGGGACACTCATCCCCGCTGTGGGCCTCCTCTCAGGGCCTGGCCAGCCCACGGATTCTCACAGTGACCCATGACCCAGTGGCTTCCATCCTATTTTACAGAGGATGAATGCTGACACTGTAGAGCAGATATGTGCACCAGGACCACTCGGCTCCCGGGCCAGCCTCACTGGGACGACAGGCTGGCCTGGGGTGCACAGACCTGGGCCCATCCCAGCCCCTCACTGGGCCCCACTTTGGTCTTGGCTTCATCTAAAAAGTGGGCTAACAGGAATCTCTCGTGAGCCACACCCAGTGAGCGTGACAGGGAAGCTCAGCCCAGGACATCCAGGGTGTGTGTGTTTGGGGGGTGGCGGACCGGGTGGGGGGGACTTGCAGTACCCTCCTGGGGACTCACTGATCTCTGTTGGGTGCTTTCCTGAGTTGGTCCGCAGTGACCCTCCATGAGAAGTTGAAAAAGCGCATGGCATTCTCGAAGTAGAGGTCTGGAACTGCGGTGTACTGGAAGAGGAAAAGCAGTCACAGGGTCAGAGCTCGCCTGGGCTGGGAGAACCTTCTGGAACCAAGGAAACCCAGACCTGCAAGGTTAAGGGATTGGTCTGCAGGCCTCAGGCTAGAGCAGAGGGCTCAGGGCTGCAGGCTCAGCCTCCTCCCTTCGCCTTTGCCCCGCTGGTGCTGGCACTGACTCTTCCCTTCAAGGACGCACTGGCAGCTTCAGCCAGGGCTGCCAAGGAGTGCCACGGGCTCAGAATGGCCTGGAGCAACACCTGGGCCTTAGGCAAGAAGTGTCTCCAGCGCTGGTCAACAGAGCTTTCCAGGATGACGGACCTGGCCTGTGCCTGCCCTGGTAGATGCTGGTGACAGGTGGCTGTTGAGATCTCAAATGTGCTAGTGTGGTTTCTAACATTAAATTTAACTTTAATTAATTAAATAGTTTCCTGTGGCTACCAACTGGACACACAGATCTGCTGACTGGAGCTGGAATTTAGCTCTGAAGTGTCAGGGGCTGGGCGTTATCACACGCCCCTCACCAGGCTGCCAGGCCTTTCTGTGCCTGACAGGTGCAGAACCCTTAGACTCACTCCAGATCCTTCCGGCTGAAGGAAAGGGCCTTGGTAAGATCCTGGGTGCCAGGAGAAGGAACCTGACCCCGTGACCCTGCCTGGCTGCTCCAGGCGCCCCTGGATCTTGCATCACGACCCCGGGAGCATCTTAAATTATTCTCAAGGGCTAAGGCTGCAGAATGAGTCTAGTATTCTCAGAAGTAATGTTAATAGCCTCAGGCTTTCACACACAACCATGAAGAGAGGTTATTCTAATTTAGAAAATGCCTGAATTCACAAATTTCAATCATGAGAACATAGAAAAGTTTATCATTTGGGCCAAAACCACAATCCATTTAAAGGAGCAATTTGCCAGAAGCTCTAACCAGCTGGGATGGAGCAATTACCACTGCTGCCTAAATTAACTTAAAAACACACTTGGGATTTATGCTTTCTTTTTCTTATTAGCAGTTCAAGGTCAAGACCAGAGCCCAAGTTTTCTCTGAGAAGGCGGGGGAGGACCCCACAGTCAGGAGGCAGCCCTGGGGGCGGGAGCAGCTGGTGTGAGGGGCCCCATTGTTATTCCACCCCTGCTGTTTTAGGGCCGCCCATTCTCTCTGCACCTTTCAGGGTATTTCCCCATTCTTCTTTATGGTGCTGTGGATGGAACCCAGTGCCTCTGCATACCAAACACAAGCTCTACCACTGAGCCACACCCCAGCCCACCCCCCAGGCTTTTCTCATTCACTGGAGCCCACCATTCACCGTGGGCACACAGCATGTGTTCTGATAATGACTGCTGGGCCTCCAGCAGTGGAGGTGCTCCAGGGATGGTGGCTCCAGGGAGGCAGGGTCTCTGCTGACCCAGGAAACGAAGCAGCAGGGAATGTCTTCCTCATGCCTGACCAGCCCAAATCTCATCCCATCATTTTGCCTGCCTCGACCTTTTCCCATTGGGCATTAGGGACCACTGAAGGGCAGGTGGAAGCCACTCACATCATTGAACACTTTGTCCAGTTCCTTGGGGTCCATGATGAAGTTGGGGTAGCCTATCATATTGTAGATGGCATCCGCCTAGACAGGAGGGACACAAAGGAAGTGAGAGCCCAGCAACACTGGCCAAGCTGGCCCCAGCTCAGAGCATGGGCTGAGGGGAGACAGGGCTGGGTTCCTCCCTCCTGAGGGCTTTCATCCAAGCTTTTTCTGGAGAGACCCATTTTTGGGTCTCTGCTTAAATGTCACTCTCCCAAGGGAAGCTACTGTCGTCTGAATGGGCCCTCAAGGTTCACACGCTAGAAACTAAATCCACAGGGTGGGGCTGTTGACAGGTGGAGCTTTTAAGAGGAGATTGGGTCCTGAGGGCTCGGTCCTTATGAATGACAGACATTGTGGCATCGTTGTGGAGAGAATATTAGTTACCACAGGAGCAGGTTCCTGAGGAAAGAGTAAGTTCAGGCTCCTCCCTCTCTTCTCTCTCTCAATCTCTCTCTCCACCCCCTTCCCCAGGACCTTCTTTTATGGGATACGATCATGTGACCAAGGGCTTCATCATGCCTGTTCCTGCTGGACTGGTCACCACACAGAACCAGACTCTCCTCCTGCCTCCCTCTCGGTGACTCCTGCCTCTGTGCCGGAAGCCCCGTGCCTCCGAGCTCCTGTGTAGCCTCACCTTCTCCTTGGCCGCTCTCCGGGTGTCTTCGTCCATCCACTTCAGGGTGCTCAGGCTCTCCTCAAATGCCTTCTTGATCTCCAGGATTATTTCACTGGCCTGAGGAGACAGACCAGTAAGGTCTGGGTCCTGGCCTTACTTAACGCAATGGTGCCCTGTGCAGAAGGTACTGCCACTCGTCAGGGGCTGAGCTTAGGTTTGGCTCAAACCTCAGGCTCCTCCATGCTGGAGACCACGGCCGTGTTTCCAAACCACAGTCCTAACAGTAGCTTCCTGTAAGGCAAGACTGGCTTTCTGAAACAGGGCTCCGTGGTCAATCAGCTCGGACAAGCTTGCAGAAGCTGGAAGTGTCTGCTGCAGGACTTTCCAGAGCCTTTAACGTGGACAGGAGCAGTGAGATTCTTCCAGAGAAGGCTAGAATATGCAGCCTCGTCCAGACTGACTGCACTGCTGAATCCCCTTTACATGGGGTGAGCGTTAAAACCCGGAGCACTCGTTCTGAGGAGCACTGTCAGAAGGGCTGTGCTCACACAGAGATGAATGGCAGCTCTAGAGGGTGACAGTGTCATAGGCAGACCTAGAGGCCAAAGACAGAAGGTGGAAGATTCTAGAGAAGGGCAAGGCAGAGCCATGCAGCAGCAAGAATGGCAGGGCTGAGAGCCAAGAGACCTCAACTCAGATTCGAGTCTCAGTTTTCTAACCTAACCTTTGACTGCAGGCAATATCTGTGCAATCAGTACTACTAGTAACAAAAACTGGGGCCAGGTGTGGTGGTGTATGCCTATAATCCCATCTCTTGGGAGGCTGAAGCAGAGGGATGGAGAGTTCAAAGCCAGTCTGGGCTACAAAGTAATAAAAACGGCACCAGTAATGTAATAGCTACCATTTCTTATACCTTATTTTGTGCCTGGCACTCTTTACATACAGTATCTTATTTAACTTGTCCTTGTGGGCAGGACAGCCCCACCTCCATGTCACCAGGCCAGGCAGTGATGGAGCTAGGGGCTGAGCTGGAGCCTGGCTGTCTCTATAGGATTATCCTCTGTCTCTCTAGAACAATCTGTCCCCGCACAGTAAGAAAAATGTTACTTTCTGGGCCAGAGTGACTCTGCCAACCTTTTCTCCTGGGTCCTTCAGGGCCATGGGAGGTAGAGATGGCTATAGTAACCTTGGGGGAGGGGATGTCGCTGGGAAGGTCAAGTTGGATAATACAGGAGTAGGTACCACTCAATGGTGATAGCTCACATGAGTACCTCACATCTTGGGATCCTTGAGAAAATGGACTTCTGAGCCTGGACGCTGGGCCTCACAAACTCAGAAAAGGGGAACCCAGGATGACCCGAGTGTGGGCTGTCAGGGCAGGCATGATGTCATGGCCCATGGCACTTACGATGTTTTTGCTGTCCTCAGCAAAGGTCGCCTTGACAAACATGGGGCCCAGGGCAAAGCCGAGGTTGTTTTCTGTGTCACTCACGCAGAACTTCCAGCGGGGAAGGCAGGTCTGGAAAACAGTGTGGTCACTGGGCCCAGGCCTCCCAAATCCCTTCTGTCTGGGAGGTAATGCCACCAGGGGCCCATGCCTCCCTCCAGAGCTGCCAGGACTGCAGGGAGACAGGCCTTTTCTGACCCTGCGGAAGTTATCTTAGGCACTGCACCCAAAGGTCATGGAATACTCCTTGTCACCAAACCTACTGTTTCCCAAGGGCCAGCCTGTGTGCTCAGCACTTTGCAAACACTGTGTCCCCTAGCCACCAAGATGCCCCCCTGGATAGACAAGAAAACAGAGACTCAGTAAGGGGTGTCACTGGCCCAGGGCCCCACAGCAATTAAGGGCAAGTGATGGGTGCTGCTGGAGCGAGAACCCAAATGTGCCCCACTCCTCCCTGTGTTCCCACCTACCGCCACCTTGCCCTGTCCCCTAGAGGACCGGGAATCCTGGTAGCACAGAGCCTTGGGAAGTTGCCCATACACCTGAGCAACAGGAAGCCTTCCTAGAGGGCCAGGACCCCGACCCCCTTTACGGCCTCCTGGAAAGAGAAGCACCACACCAGGATTCATGCATTTTTCTTCCATGTTTCACCCCAAACTCATAGTACAGGGATGCCTCCCTGTGAACCAGAAACAGGGTCCACGGGCTGCAGCCGCCTGGAGCATAGGTCAGGGAAAAGCCCTTGGGACACTGCAGCCATACTGGCCCTCCTGTCTGGGTATCCCCTGTGTCCAGCGTGTGACCACTTGTGGCAGCCATCCTCATACCAACCCCTCTGGCTGCAGGGTCCCCTTAACCTGGAGAACATGTGTGACACGCCCCATGCTCAGGGCAGCCTGACTCATACAAGCACCAAACTGCAAACAACCCAAATGCCTATCAGCAGACAGACAGATAAACAAAATGGGGTATTTTCATACAGCAACACTACTTGTCACAAAAAAGGACCAAGCTACTTGGTTACAACAACACAGATGAGTTTCACACACTTGTGCTGAGCACAAGAAGTCAGGCCTGGGTATGAGTTGGTCTATACTCATTTGTACCACATTGGGGCGGGGGTGGATGATAGGTGAGGGGCCCCAGGGATAGCCAGCAAATGGGTTGTGGAAATGTCTTCTATCTTGACTGAGGCAGTGGTTACATTTGTCAAAACTCATTAAACCACATACTTAATTCATAGTGTATATTTCATTGTATATAAATTAGGTCTTCATAAACAACTTTTTGTTTTTGAGATAGGGTCTTGCTACGTAGCCCTGGCTGGCCTGGAACTCTCCATCTTCCTGCCTCCTGAGTGCTGGGATTACAGGCATGCACCATCATGCTTGGCTCATCTTAATTATTTTTAAGTGCACAGTTCAGTAATGGTAAGTATGTTTTTGTGCAACCAATTTCTAGGACTTTTTCATCTCATGAATTGAATTTATCTCCATTAAACAATAGTTCCTCTGCCCCGCCCCCAGGCTCCTGGCCATGATGGGGAAGCTGTTTTCCCTGTCACTCCTGCAGAGTGGAGGCAGGGAGGTACAGCTAGAGCTCAGGGGCATGGGATGAGCAACTTTGAGCAAGCCCCTCCCCGCCCTGAGCCCCAGTTTCCTCATCCGTCAGGTGGCAGCTAGTGATAGTTCTTAACACATGGAGCTGTGGGAGGCTGGGAGGTGAGGCCTGTGAGAGGCCGGTCTCCAGTAGTACTGTCTTCGGTTATTGGGATTATTATTAGCAGTGAGTGGCTGGATGTGTGGGTATGCAGACCTGGAAGCTTGGCTGCTTCCTTGCCAGGTGACTTTATAAAGTCCTTTTACCTCCCTGAGCCTCAGTTTCCTCCTCTGTACCCTGGAGGGAAAGAGAGGATGCAGATGAGTGCTTGGTGACCACAGTCCTGAGATGGGTGTAAAACCCCCAGGAAGCTGTGGGCTGGTGGGGACAGAAGACAGGCTTTGTCCACATCTGTGACCTGGCTGGTCCAATGCAGAAGGCAGAAAAGGAAGGCAGGGCAGCAGCCCATTGCTTTCCCTCGTTCCTGTCCTTTGACTCTCCTGGCCAAGGCCCACTGGTGGCCTCAGAAGCTCCACTGGTCAGAAGCAAGATTTGCTCCCCACCACCCTCTTCCTCTGTCCCCCTACTGCCACAGGTGGATGGACATGGGGATGGGAGAGGAAAGAACTTCTCCCATGGACTTCCCACAAGAGGCGGGAGCTTGCCTCCTGCCGTTCTGCCCAGTCCTTGTCTGGTCTCACCCACTCCACTGGGAGGGGCGCAGGAGTGGAGTCTAGCTGAAGTCTGCTCTCTGGCCTGGGGGAAGGGGCACAGTTGTGGTGGTCGTGGGTGCGCAGGGTGGGTGACAGGGCACCACTCAGCCACCCCTGGGCCATGGCTGCACTTGGTTGGTATGTGAGGGCAGGTCAGCCCTATTGGCTCCCTCAGCAGCCTGGGCCACGGGCACAGACCCCATCTCACCCACATCTGTGTTCCCACCTTGGGCTCAGGGCCTGGTACATGGCAGGAGGTCAGTGAGCAGCCTGCCGGGTGCCTGGCATACAGCAGGGGCTCCACACGTGCATGGAAAGGCAGCAACAGGCTTACCTTCTTGGTCCCGTACATGACTTCCATGAACTTTTCGTCGGCGTCTTGAAAACGCTGATCGAGGAAGGAACTTGTTTTCCGCACCAGGTTCCAGATCATGTAGTTGTTGAGCAGGCTGGGTAGAGAGAGATGGGACCAGGGAGCTGAAAACGCCAGATGCAGCACTTTCCCCGCGGACTCATAGGGGGCGCTCACGCTCACCCTCAGATCCCAGGCTCTTCTCCCACTGCCCACTCCTCTGCTCTCTAAGCACGTGAGGAACTCGTCCAGGGTGCAGCCTGGGTCTTCTACCACCTTGGTGTTTAGTGCAATCACTTGTACACCACCGGTGCTTAATAAATGCTATTGCTTAGCTGCTCAGAGACTGGAAGCTATGAAGCCACTGCACGGAGACAGTCCAGGGGTGTGTGCTGCAGGGCTGGGATGGGCAGAGGTCCTGGCCAGAAGACCAGAGAGGATAATGGAGGCCTAAGACTAGGAGAGGCTGGGAAGGAGGCTCTGTCTGGTCAGGCCAAGGTTTCCGTGAATGGTACCTCCCATGGCCCTGAGGACCTATTTATGTCCACTGCCACCCTTATAAAGAAGTCACCTTAGCACAAAGATGTTCACCACAGTGCACATCTAGCCTCTATTGGAATTAAGCTAAATGTGACAACAGGAGAAGGAGTAAATAAATATATTTACGCTCAATGGAATGTAATCACGAAAAATGATGCTTGCAGAGGGTCACCTCTGATGACCGAGCTGGTGGAAGAGGGGTGGGATCAAAATGCACCTGTAATCAGAACTTGGCTGCTTCTCATAGAAACCTACCCAGGGGCCTTTTCCTGAGCCAGGGGGTCACCCCATCCCCACCCATCCTGCCTGTGGGAGGTCACCTCGAGGGTGCTGCGCCCCTCACCATTTGTCGGTGTTATTGATGAGGGTGGAGACCTGCTCAAGGTATTCCTTGTCGTAGACCACAATAGGCTCAGACTCGTTGATCTCCACGGGGTAGAAGATGGTGTTGAGAAAGGGCAGCCAGTTGATAGCTGGTGCCAAGGTCTGCAAGAGAAGAGAATGGTGTGACACTGGCTGGACCACTTCTCCCATAAACCGATCTCCAGGGGTTCCTCTGAAGAAGGCGGCACTGCACCTTCCACCTTCTGACCAAGGAGAGCGTATGGCATCATGTTGACAGAGCACAAGGCAGAGACAGACAGGGGCTGGCTAGCTTCTGCCAGAGTTCCTGCAGCTGGTAGCCTAAGGAGCCAGGCATCAATACCTCATGTGAAAGCCAGGGATGGTGGTCCATGCCTGTAATTCCTGCTACTTGAAGGCAGAGGTGAGAGAATAGAAAGTTCAAGGCCAACCTGGGCTACACAGTGAGACCCTGAAACAGCCGCCACCATCTCACTTGAAGTGGAACGAGGACGGAATAGGAGTACGTGCGGCATCTGCCGTTCTGTGTGGTATGCGCCTTTGCTCAGGAATCATAGGTCCTAGCCCAGTGGGTCCTCATGGTCCTCGTGAGAGGCCAAGTAGTAGGTGCAATCACCTCTGCTTCACAGAGGAAGACGCCAATCCTCAGACAGGCCTCTCACAGTTAAGAATCTGGTGCCAAACTGTCTGGGCTCAGAGCCTGCTCCCTGCTGACTAGCTGTGCATCCTTGAGTGAGTTAATGAGTCCCTCTGTGCCTCCTCCGAGAAGGGAGATCTCTAGAACTACAGGTTCTCCTGAGGGCCAGCAGCCAGGGGTGTCAAGTGTATGGTCCTCAGGTGGTGCTTCCCAGGCATGAACTGAAAATCAGGTCAGATAACCTGCAGCAGGAAGGGAGAAACCGAGATGCAGCCCATGTGCACACAGGATGCCAGTGTTTTAAGACAAGCCTCTGTGCCCTGGGCTCCCTCCCCACGGGCCCAATTCCAGGGCACCCAGCTGCTCAGAGGGGCTCAGGGCTGCCTCCCTGTCCACCCCTACTGCCTCAGAACCTGCCCCAGCATTTCCCCTACTCCAGGCATCTTTCTCCCTTGCCGGCTAGTGTCTCACTACAAAGTTGCACAACTTAAAAAAAAATTGTGACTAAATGCAAACATAAAATGTATCATTTTAACCATTTTTTGATTGTTTCTTTGGTGGTACTGGAGTTTGAACTTCCGGCCTCACGCTTGCTTAGGCAGGTGGTCTACCACGTCAGCCATTCCCCTAACCCCATCTTAACCACTGTCAGGAGTCCGGTGCGGTGGCATTAAGCCATTTACATTGTGTGCTACCAGCACACTGTCATCCACAGAGTTCCTCTGACCAAACAGAAACTCTCTGCTGTCAATCTCCTACTTCCCCCTGCTCCATGGAAACCACCATTCTATTTTCTGTCTCTATGAATTTGATTTGACTACTCTAGGAACCCCACATAAGTCAATTCCCAGTTACTTGTCCTTTTGCGGTTAGCTGATTTCACTAGCACAATGTCCCTAAGCAGAGATGCAATTTGTATTGTGCAATTTTACAGAAGGTGAAGGTTTTCAGGCTGCATACACTGTGTTTAGCAAAGATGCTGTGCATGTTAACCTGGGCACCTGGCCGTCAGCAATCACTCCATCACTGTTAGCCATTACACTCATTGCTTAAGGTCTCTCAAAAGAGGCCCTGGCCTGTCTGATTTCAAGCTCTGTGTTCTGTTCCCATGAAAAGGGCAAAATGTGAGACAAATAAAGGAAATGAGAGATGCATGGTAAATGCTCCCTCTCTGGACAATCAGTAATGCAAAGTTAATCGATGAGAACAGATGAATGCCTGTGAGGTCCTCCATGAGAAGCACTTAGTCAAAGACCACCTGGCCTGAGGTCGTGACTTTCCTGAGGTCACATGGCTAACTGGAGATAGCACAGGTTCAAATCCCAGGTTCACTTCTCTCTGGGTTTATTTATTTTTCTGATGGTACCAGGAATTGAACTCAGGGTCTCACGCATGCTAAGCACATGCTCTATGACTGGGCTATGCCCCAGGCTATTGTCTCTGGGTTTCAAAGTGCACCTTGGCTATTGGGGAACAAGCATCTCGAAGGACAAATGAGACTGGGGAGGACAAGCTCCCAAAGGCAGTAGTGTGCTGGTGAGAAAGTTAAAGGTCAGCTCTCAGGGAGGGGACCTTTTCCCCCATGACCTTGCTGGTTATGGGGGAACGTCCCAGCAAGACTGACTGCAAACTACCCGCTAGCCTGGGAAGTGTACAGTGGGCCAAGGGTCCATGTGCCACGGCACAGCCCTGTCTGTCTGGCAGTGACACAAGCTGGAAGTGAGCAGACTAGGGTCAGGGTCCCCAGGAGGAATCACTTCTGGGAAGCTGAGCCATTTTCTGTCCTGTTTGTAAAACAGTGACAGCAATCCTCCCACCCCAGAGCTGGCTGCTCTGCACCCCAAGCCTCCTGCTACCTGGCTTGTCCTTCTGTCCTCTTCCTGGCAGGACACCTTCAGGTTATGTCTTTCACTTACCTGTGGCTACAAGATGTAGAAAGTGTAGTGTGCTCACGAGATCTTCAAATAGAACTCAGCAATCAGAGCCACCTGGCTACAAGACCAGCTGGCAAAGATCCCAAGAAACAGATATGTTTACAAAATGTCACTGCTCATGCAGTTCATGAGAGCTTCATAAATGGCAGGTGACTGGAACTCTGACTGAGAGACAGGTATCAATGGTGAGAAACAGCCAGGTACTTACGCAAGCCTCTTCCTTCAAGGAGAGCAGGTGCTCAGAAATTTCCATGGCTCTGAGCTAAGGAGATGAGTGTTGAACACCCAGGATTCTTGCATTTTCACTCCCTGTTGCTCCTAACTTAGACACATGTGCCTCAATCTATTTCCGTGGAGAGGGCTGTTTTAATCAACTAGGACATTCCACGGTGAGTCAAACCTTCTGGGGACACTGATGAGCTCGATTTTCCATACCCACAGCCAAGGAGCACTGCTGAACATCACCAGCCAACCCGAAGAGGCTGAACACGGGAGAGGAGAGCCTAGGCTTTTGGCTCTATCTCAGCTGGAAAAATGGAGCAGAGGACAGGGCCACAGCCTGTGGCATAGGGGCTTCAAGAAAGGAATGGGAGGTGTCTGGAGAAGCAAGGGAAGGCTGTGTGATTCATGGCTCTGGATTTACACTGCACTATGGGCTAGCCTGGAGCCTTCTGCACTCCAGCAGAGCTAGCCTAGAACCCTACTGTGAAGCCTGACTGCCTTTCTTTGATTCACCCAGAGCAGAGAAGAAAACCAAATTCCTGAGCTGGGTGCTGGTGGCTCATGCCTGCAATCCTAGCTACTCAGGAGGCAGAGATCAGGAAGATTGAAGTTTGAAGCCAGCCTGGGCAAAAAAATTCAAGAGACCCTATCTCGAAAAAACCCAACACAAAAACAGGGCTGGTGGAGTGGCTCAAGTGGTAGAGCGCCTGCCTAGCAAGCATGAGGCCCTGAGTTCAAATCACAGTACTACAAAAAAAAAAGAAAGAAAGAAAACCAAATCCTTACCTATCAGAGAACGAGACAGTTTCTGTCCCAGGGTGGAATGACTCCAATTAATTTAGTGCTGGGGACCTGGGCAATGCCACCACTCACAGAGGAATAATAACGATGATGACTATGACATATTATGCTTCCATTGCACGTGTCAGTTTACAAAATGAAATCCCACTCTCGCTTTGTCTTATCCTCTAACAACCCTGTGGGCAGGCCAACAGAAATTCTTATTCCAGGCTTCAGGGGTCCTGGGCATCCTCAGATGTTGCGTGTATATTAAAATGCACATCCGCACATTTCTCAGGGGTGAAGCTCCACAGTTTTTGAGCTATTCTCCAAAAACTCTGTGACTTAAAGTTAAGAACCACTGTCCCTTGGGAAGCCAGGAGCTATGTCTTATTGCCTCTGCGATCTAGCAGAGTGAGTGAGTGAGCCATGTCCTATTTTACAGGAGGGAAACCAAGGCTCAAGGGTGTGTTATGTGATTTGCTCAGGTTCACACTGGGCTGGCACTGTGCAGGCTGCTGTGGCCGCTGAAATCCCCCCAACCCTGGCAGTGGTACGGCAGGGAGGGAGGAGCCGCCTTCCTTTTCCTCCAGAGAGAAAAGGCAATGGGGAGAGGGCGCCAAGGGCAGAATCCCATGGGCATGCTGGCTGGCATGCTAAATGATACTGTGCCTCCCCATGCTCACGATATCAGCATCAGCGTCGTAAGGTCTTGTGGGCTGAGATCTGCAAGGCTTGAGCAAACCAAATTACACTGCACAAACACATCTCCCTCAACCTCCTGGCCTCGGAGTGGAAAACAGAGCCAGATGGTGCCCGACACAGGCTGCTGATCTCCATAACAACCTGCCCAGCACCACTTCCCTGGGGACCTGTGAGCAGCTGGCACCAGATTGACCCAGGCCTTTGCGTGGGCTGCACCTCTGCCTATGAAGCCCCATCAGTCTGGCTAATATGCAGTCATCATTAGACTCACCGTCCCCAGCTTTTTCCTGCTTGGCCCTAGGGCCCTGCATCTCTTGGCCAAAGCACTTAGAAGGGAGAGGGGGACTGCTTCCTGGTGAGGGTCCCCTACCAGCCTGAAAGCACACAATAGCAAGGTCCGAGAGGGGCCCAGATACACCCGTCTGATGGAGGAAGAAACAGGGGAGGACCCAGTGTCTCTCCTGAAAGAGGGAGGAACCGACAGGCAGAGCCTGGATGGTGGAAGGAGACGTGCTGGTGAAGTCCCAGCCCAGCCCTGACTTCCACCTTAGTGAAGAGCAAAGCCCAACCTTCCCACCTGAGGCGGACATGAGGAGGTCAGCAGAGCCTCTCTTCTGAGTCTCCTGAGACGATGGAGCTTGGACACAGTGGGACACAACACCCATGCACTAGAAAGAAGGGACCCTCAGACAATGCAGCTCGGCATCTCAAACCTGAGCAGCCACCAGGAGGCAGCCTGTGGCAGAGCTGGCTTACAAAGGGACCTCTCTGATGAGTCACACCAGTCACAGAAAGCACAAGTCGGACTCAGTTACATCTCCAGGATGTCGCCAAAGGATGTGGGCAAGAACTGAGTTTCACTGAGCCACACTCAAGTCTAGAGGCCAGCTCCTTGGCTACATAGGAGCCTCCAGCCCTGACCAGGTTACTTAGCCTCCTGGGACAGGCAATGGCAGAAGGTACAGATCACATTTATTTAGTGCTTATAGGCGTTTGGGTTGGGGCTGGAGAGACTTGAAAACGTCCTGTCTCTTATATCTATGGCTGTAATGGTCATGGCCATAACGTCTCCAGGGAAACGCTGTCACAGAAAGCAGGCTGGAGTGGGGTAAGCTTAGCTTTGGAGTAACTTACTACCATGTGGCCTTCAGCAGGTAGCCTTACTTCTTTGAGCTCAGGCTTTACATCTGTGAACCGGGCAGAACAACCCTCCCTCCTTTACTGGGTGAGTCAGGGATGTGATGAAGTGGAGAAGGACAGTCTCCCTCCCAGCACGCTGTGTGAGGCCCAGGGTCAGCCCGCCTCTGCGTGGCTGGTGCTCCAGTCACCTGCAGCTCAGCGGCCGTGACTTTGTGGTAGATGAGCTCCTCATCCCGGCGCTTCTCCTGGGGGATGGTGATGTTGGCGAGCGCTGTCTCAAAGTCCAGGATCTGCTGCATCTGGGGCCGGATGGCATCCTCGTCCCCCCCGCCCAGCAGCTTCCCCAGCTGGACCATGTAGTTCAGGTATCCAGTCAGCACCTGTGGGACCCAACACCCCCAAACTGTCAGTGGCCGCCCAAGGCTTAGGGCCAGGGAATGGCACGCTTCACCCAGGAAACCCTTTGGAAACAGCTTTGAGAACGATTTTGGTTCCACAGTCCTCAGGATAAAGTGGAAAGGCCTTTCCATGCCCACAGGTCCCTGCGTGGGCTGGCCCCTGCTGTCCTAGTGCCTCTAGGGCTGTCCTTCTGGTCTCAGAACACACCTTTTCTGAGCTGCCCTCTACTGCTGTGTCCCCAGATCTGAATCAGGTCCTCATGTTAAACTTTCCTGGCACTCCCCTCCCACACGTATGGCTGTGCATCTCAGTGGGTGGTCAGTTAAGTCATGTCTTCTGCTCCTATTGGACCTCAAGGCCGGGATGGGGACCACGTGAGTCCTTTCAAAACCATCACTACAGCACCAGTGCTCAGTACAAATGAGTCTCTGACAGGGTCACCCTGGGGCATCAGGACAGGCAGGCCCAGGGAGAGGGAAAGGTGTGGGTTTTGGAGGAGGTGGATCTGGATCTCAGCTTCACTGGTTACTGACTTTGTGACCTTGAGCAGGTCTCTTAGTGTCTCTGAGCATTACTCTCTCCTTTGAGAGGAAAGATAAAAATAATAACCATTCGACAGATGAGGCAATGAAGTTACTGGGAAGGTGAGAGGTGATGTGTGCAAAGGTCTAGCCACCACCTCTCTCTAAAACAGGGACAAATGACACCTATCCCTTGCCCCTTGTGCCTACAATGCCTGACTGTGACATGGCAGGCCAACCTGGGGCATCTCTCCCTTGCCTGGGTCATCCTTCAGGAAAGTGTCATGCCTCTGTTCTCCCCTGCCTTCTGAGACCTGCCCCATGTGCTAGGGGTGCACATGGAGGGGAAGAAACTATCACAGGGTAGGCTGGGTGCACTCACCTTCTCATTTTCGGTCTTATTCAGGTAATAGTCTCTGGAGGGTAAGCCCAGGCCAGACTGGTCCACCTGGAGAGGGAGGAAGGAGGAAGAGGGAGTCCCCCACTGCCCGTGCCCCTTGCCCTGGGGACAGCTGGCAGGTAGCACTGGAAGACCAGCTCAGGTATCAGCAGGAACACAAGCTAGAAGCTAACATCACTAATTGGGCCCGCTCTCAGGGACTCTGGGCCCCTCTGAACCCAGAAGGGGCTTTAAGTATCTTCTGGTCCCTATTTCACTTCACCAAACACTGTCCAGAGCTACCACAAGCTGAGTGACCATGGTAATAGTCTCTGAACTTAACCTTTACCTGGAAAATAAGGGAAATGACACTCAGCCTGCAGAGCTGGGATGGGACAGGGCCAGTAAAGGGCCTCCTGAGAGCCAGGCAGGTTTGGGGTGGAAATGCTTGGTAGCTACCATTGAAGTCTTCTGACTATACCTTGATGTACCTTGGGTAGGTTTATTGTAGTTCCTTTGACAAGGAAATTGTAGCTCAGAGAGGCTGAGCCATTTGCCTAAGGCCATACAGTGAGTGAGTGACACAGACAGGATGACAACTCAGTTTTTATGACCCCCCAGTCTGGGACTCCCAAGGCAAGCTGATTCTTAGCTCTGGAGGGGAAAGATGGACTGGAATCCAATCTAAGCAGAGTCACAGAGGCAGAGGGAAGGGAGCAAGAGGTAGCTCCAGCTGTGCTCACAAGCTGACATCACCCACCACTCCTGTTGCCACTGTGAGCCACCTTCCAAGAATGGTGGCCTGTCCTCTCACATTCTCTTCCCTGCAAAAATCTTACCACTAGAAAAAACCCAGGCTCACAGGCCAGAGTTGCTATCCCACTCAGGGCAAGTCTCTTCCTCCCAGCACCTGCTAAGCTCAGGACAAGGTCCTGTCCTGTCCTGTTCCTGGGCCAGCTCACCTGGATCACGTTACTGTTAGAGTTCTTGGAGTCGGCACTGACGTAGACAGAGAAGAAGGGCGAGGTGCGGTAGTGAGCTGTGACCACTTGCAGGGTGTCCTGAAAGTTGTCCTTGGCCCAGGGGCCTGTGATGTTCCAGCCTCCGAGCTGTGGGGACAGAGAGTAGACAGTGGGGATGAGGTGATGGGGACACCTGTATGCAGATGCTGGCTCTGCAGCCTACCTGCTCGATGACCTGGAGCAGTCCTCTGATCTCTCAGAGCCTTCAGGATGGGATGGTTTTCATTGGGGTTCCTGACCTGTGAGCTGGAGACCCCAAGACAGAGCACTTATCCTCACCAAGTCAGCCATGACTCCACATGGCAGCTGCTCCCTGGAGGGATGGGATGGGAATGGGACCAGGCTTTGCCCATATGCTGTTTACCTTTGGATACTAAATCATGTGAATGTAATTACTGTTACTGGGTGCAGGGGTGCATGCTTGTAATCTCAACACTTGGGCAGAGGCAGGAGCACTGGGAATTCAAGTGTAGCCTGGTGACACAGTGAGACCCTGTGGCAAAAAACCAAACACCAACCAAACAAATAAATATAAATTCAATTGTGCCTATGAGAAAAAAGGCTCCATATTTCCTATTTATTTATTTTTACTTTTTAAAGCAGCACTGGGGTTTGAACTCAGGGCCTCATGCTTGCTAGGCAGGTACTCTTACCACTTGAGCCACTCCTCAGCTCAATTTATTTAATTTTTTTTGTGGTGCTGGGGATTGAACCCAGGGCCTCACACTTGCTAGGCAGGCACTCCACCACTTAAGCCACTCTGCCAGACCAAGGCTCCATATTTTGAAAAAGGTTGGTAAGCTAAGATTTCCATCAGTCTCTCAAAACTGGAATTAAAAAAAAATCTCTTAGGTCCTCCCTGGCTTGGCACATACTGGCACAAAGGGCCTGGGCGAGAGAGGAGGGACAGAGACCATCCCAGGACCTGCAGCCACTAACCCTGCCTCAAGACCTTCTTCCATCTTGGAGTACACTCCACGCCATTTCACATTTCCTGGCCCCTTGTTTCCGTCTGTCCACGCCCAGGACTGCCAGGGATGTCCAGGAAGAAGGACCCCTTCTGCTACTCGGGAGTAAGGGAGGGCTGCAAGTCAGTAGGGTCCTCCTCATTTCTGGAATGACAAACACCCCTCCACACGTACCCATAAACACACTCTTGGAGGAAAAGAAACAGTGACAGAGAAGATTTTCTCAGTGAATTTAGCCCTTGTCCTCCACAAAGATACACTCACATACACACACACACACATATGCACCACAGAACACACAACTCCATACAATACAAGCAGATAGTCCCATTCACACAGAGCCATATACACATGCTCAGGCAGAGAGACAGACTCTGTCAGTTGGGTGTGGTGGCTGGAGGTGCAAGGTAGCAGAGATCCAGTAGTGCCTGAGAGCTGGGGTGGAAGCCAGGGGGCTGGCAAGTGGCATGGGTAGTAGCTGTGAGTCTGTCCACAAGGGACCCACCTTCTCAATCAGCTCCATCAGGGGTTTGGCCCTGAGCGCCTCGATCCTGGTTTCATTCATGCACGCACGGTAGTATACTTGGGCCTTCCTCTCTGCCTCACTCACGCTGGCTGTGGAATTTTCTAGAATGACAAGAGATGGCAGAGTTTGCAATGTGCCCCCTGGGGAGGCACTGCCTGCTGGGGAGCTCTGAATGAGTCCTTCCTGAGCCTTGGTGTTCCTAGCTGTACAACAGAGCTGGGGCCGCTCCTGGCTGGCTCAGTCCCAGAGGTACAGGTACCGATGGGCAGAGCCGGCAGACCGAAGGTCTCCCCGAATTCTAGCTGACTGCCAATCAGAAGGGTGTACTGTGTTTCTCCCCTTCTCTGCTGATGGGCTTGCAGATGTGTCCCTGGGATGGCAGCCTCAGCCCATCCAAAGGACAGTTGGCCTCCCTGTTAGCCAATATGTGACACTAACAACCCTGCCTGGTGCGTGGGACAGAGCCCTGTCTTGGTTTCCAGATCCCAGATAACCTTTCTTAGAAGTAAGATTGCAGTTGGATGAAGCTTGAAAGACCTCATTCATTATGAATTGACTTTCCGTTTCCTCCTCAGAGGCCCAGACATGCTTGCCAGACGTAGATGATGAAAAGGACCGGTTTCTACCTCCCCCACCAGTGCAGCCAGCAGCATTTCGTCCAGCTGTGCTTCTCAGACTTCTCAGACTTCCCCTGGACACAGGAGACACCCTTCTCCTCCTCCCCCATCCCCAGTGCTTGGTCCAGATGTCACCTGCTGAAGGCCACGCACCTGTGTGCACAGCATGGGACATTCCCACCTGCACCCAGTGAAGATGACCACTTCCTGCTGCTCAGGTCCTCAAGGGGCCTACCACGTGCTGGGGCTCCTGTGCCTGAGCCCCCTGCCACGGAGCCCACTCCAGGCCATGCTGGATTCCCTGGCCCTGTTTCCATCTGTCCGACTCCCTCTCTCCCTAGGGAACCCCTCACTGTTCCTGCCACTGCCCTCATTTCAGATTAGTTCCTCTCTGACCTTGAAACTCCTTCTTTTGCTCCCTTCCAAGACCTCCCCACATCCACCTCCTCCATGAACACTTTTCTGATGGAGCTCTATCCAATTCAGCTACCAGACAGATGCCAGATGCTTACTCTGTGCCAAGTGCTGTGAAGCTCAGGGGATGCAAAAGATGACACCCCAGCCCCATGAGGCTTCTCACGAGACCCTCAGCCCTTCCCAGGGACACTTCTCTCTGAAGCCTGTTCTCAGATGTTCGTTCTAGAAGGTCCTACCAAGTGCTAGGCGCTGGGCTAGGTCCTGCTCCCTGCCCCCAAGGAGCTCACACAGATATGCAAAGGAAAGACAGAAAGATGCACAAGAAAGACGCACAAGTGCTTTGAATAATGCAACAGCTTTGACACCCACACACCCTTCCATTTGGAGGGCTGGAAGAGGCCAGGGCCTCCAGAGGATGTTCTATTTAAACTGGGCCTAAAAAATGAAAAAGTATACACCATGTGGAAAAGAGGGGAAAGGGCAATGATTGGCAAAGAACAATAGGGACCAAGGAAGGAGAGAAAAGAGCACGCTGTTTGAAGAAAGAAAGCTGTTTGTCACAGCCAATTGATGTCAAGTCATTTCCTGACCAATCTTCCTCAGTCCTCATCTCAGAGAGCTCCCTGTCCTGGATTGTCACTGTAAATGTCACTGGTCAGGGAACACAAGCCTGTCTCATCAAATCAGATAACATCATAGAAAAGGGGATGGGCACAGCCTGGGGCTGGTGTGAAGGGAGAGGTAGAAGCTAGAGAACCCCCTGAGGGGTCAGAGAACCCCCTGGGGTCTGGAGACTACAGGCTGGCATGCTTCTGAATTCTGGAAACACCTGCTTGTCTCCAGGTCTGAGGAAGCAGTTGAGATGAGGCCTCCTGGAGAGGGAGGGCGGAAACAGGGGGAGTTGGGGCCTCAGACTCAGGAAGCAGAGGAGGGGATGCACAGGGGGAGCTCCCCAGCTCCAAGGGCCTTGTCTCTATGGCAACAACTCCCAGCAGCTAGGCTCTTGGAAGGGAAGGCAAGAGAACATTCAGGGCTCTACCAGATCCCAGAAGCTCCATCTCACCACCCACATCTGGCTCTGGCCATGACCCCGAAATGCCAGGGCCAGGATTGGGGGAGGCACTTTGTACACTGGCTCAAGAGTAGGCCTGGCATCTTCTTCCCCCAGGATCCCAAGGTCACTAAGATAAGAGATCCAAAGAAAGCCTCCAGAGGAACAGGCTGGATGTGCTAATCATAGCAAGTTCTGAGTCCAACTGGAGGCCACATGGCTCCCCTATTCCTGGCACCTGTAGGGAAAGAGAAGGGCCCTTTCCATCACGGCTTTGCTGAGTCCACTCCAGCCAAGTTCAAAGTTCTTCTGGCATCTCAAGTTCAAGGCCAGCCCAGACAAAGGTAGTGAGACCCCCAAAATAAAATACTAGCAAGAAGTGGTAGAACACTAGCCTAGCATGCACAAGGCCCTGGGTTCAATCCCCAGCATCCTCCAAGCACCTGGGTTCACGCTCCCTGGTGTTTGCACAGCTGATTAAATGTCTGGTGTTGGGCGCTGCCAGGCTGGGTGTGGGGATGCACAGGCCTGAGTGCCTGACACTTGCAGGCCGGTGGCGAGATAGACAGTGACCACTCCCAGGGGCATCTAATTGCACACTGGGGTGATGGTGAAGAGAAAGTCCGGGAAGCCAAGAGAGGCCTGCAGGAAAGCCACAGAGAAAGCCACTCAAGTTGCTTCAATATGGAGGAGGAGTGGGGGGAGCTTGGACTGCCTCGCCCCACATTCCGTGACTTTGTCATCTCTCTGTTCCCAGAATGAGCTCGGAACAGGCATACAGTAAGCCCTCAGTGACATGATGAAAAAACAGAGTTCATGGGGTATTTCCTTCCAGGGGCCCTGAGTTCCAGAAACTTCCTCAGTTGCTTCCCCAAAGCCCCAGAGAGGAAAGACAGCACACCACTTAATCGGCTGGCTTCTTCCTCTGGGAGTTTTCATTGGAACAGGCTTTCCCACATCACTGCTGGGGAGGAAGTAACGCCCAGATAGGCAGGGCCGAGACTGAGGTGGGCTATGAGGATGGGGTGCCTGGGAATTAATTCCTGTGTGGCCAGGACCATGTAGGGGCCTTGATTCTACCTGAGGGCAGGACCAGTGTTTGTTTTAGATAAAACCAGAGTCAGTTCAGACAGTCACAGGCCTCGGGAGCCCCATCCAGGGAGGGGATGGGGGGAGCTGATAGAGGAGGCCTTTGTTGTGCAGGAGAAGGGAAGTAAAAGATAACACCATCACACTTCCTGGTGCTGATTGCAGACCAGGCTGGGCGCTGGGCCTCATCACCACATGACATACCCCAAGGGGGCTACGGTGTTATCAGCCCATTTCAGAGAAAAGGAAACTGATGCTCAGGAAGGCAAAGGAGCTTGCCTGTGAAGGCTGAGCTAATTAATAAGCAGTGTGCTGGAAGATGAATGCAGGTGTTCTTAAGCCTCCCCGCTGAGAAAACGGGCTGCCTCCTCTGGGTGTGGGTGCCACTGTGTGGGTGCATCTTGTCATAACAATCCCACGGTGGCTCTCATCAGTATCACGCCCAATTTATAGGCAAGCGGTTAGGTAACTTATTCAAGGTCACACAAGTAAGTCGCTGAGGTCAGGACTGGAGCCCGTCTTTTTACACTCCTGGTTCTTACTGCGGGTGCACTCAGAAACCAGAGGGGGCCTGAGGCAGCCCACCTGCTCCCAGAAGCCCTGGACACAACCTCCCAGCTTTTTGGTGGGACTGAGGTTTGAACACAGGGCTTCACACTTGCAAAGCCGGCGCTCTACCACCGAAACACACCTTCAGTTCATTTTGCTCTGGTTATTTTAGAGATAGGGCTCTCAACAACTAATTGCCCAGGCTGACCTCAAACCATGATCCTCCTGATCTCAGACTCCCAAGTAGCTAGGAATACCGGCGTGAGCCACTTGGCACCATTCCCCAAATGAGAAAGGTCCCACTACTGCAGACACCATGCAGACAGCAGGAAAAGAAACTAAGTCAGATAGCAAATACCAGGGAAACATCAAAATAAAAATACGAGCCGGGCACCAGTGACTCACGCCTGTAATCCTAGCTACTCAGGAGGCAGAGATCAGGAGGATCGAGGTTCGAAGACAGCAAACAGTTCGTGACCCTATCTTCAAAAAACCCATCACAAAAAAAAAAAAAACAAAAAAAAAGGCTGCTGGAGTAGCTCCAGGTGTAGGCCCTGAGTTCAAACCTTCAGTACCACAAAATAAATAAATAACTAAATAAAAGTATGAGTGAGACATGACACAGGCTGTCATCATGCACATTAAATCACTGACATGGACACATTTCATGCTATTGGAACACTGTACATTTCTCAGGGAGGATGGTGTCAGGGACAGAAGGGGGACAGCTACCTTTTCTTTCTTTCATTTTGTGTTGTTGAGGATCAAATCTTTTGCTTCATGCATGCCAGACAAATGCTATACCTCTGAGCTACATCCTCTGCCCTGACAGCTGACTTTCCCCCATGGACTCTATGCTGTTTCAATTGTCACAACAAGCGTGCATTATTTTTTAAAGTATTCATCTTATAGTATAAGATATCGTAGGGCCAGATGTGGTGATGCATGTCTGTAATTCCAGGCACTTAAAGATGGAGGTGGAGAATTGTAGTCCAAAGCTAGCCTGGGCAAAAGCAAAAGACCTTACCCAAGAAACAAACTAAAGCAAAAGGACTGCAGGCGTGGCTCAAGTGGCAGACTGCCTGCCTAGCAAGCTTGAGGCCCTGAGTTCAATCCCCAGTACTGCCAAAAGAAAGTATCATAGATGTGACAGTCACACAAAATGTTAGTGTGGCTCAAGCCCTAAGAGGCCCTTTGGTAGCCATAGAAGATATAACAGAGGAAGCAGGTTTAAGAACAGTGTAAGCTGGGCACTGGTGACTCACATCAATAATCCTAGGTACTTGGGTGGTGGGTGGGCGGTGAGATTGGGAGGATCATGGTTTGAGGCCAGTGGAGGAAATAGTCCTTGAGATCCCATTTCCAAAATAATGGACTGGAGGTGTGTTTCAAACTGTTTCATGCTTTGGAAGCATGAAGCCCTGAGTTCAAACCCCAGTCTCGCCAAAAAAAACCCCAGAATAGTGTAGAAGCGTCTGGGCGTTGATTAGGCTGTGTGGATAGTATAATAATCTGGGCTGAGTACATCTGGAAAGCTAAAGACAAGGCCAAGTGTAAGGGTGATGGGCTGGCCTCTGATGACTTGAGGCTACTGCTATGTCCCCAGAGCCTACAGAGGGCCACTATCCAGGCCACTTGGGAGAGTGGTGGATTGTGGGTAAAGCATCTGTATTCCAGAGCTGAGGTCATCCCCCTTCAGCCAGCAGCCAGCAAGGACAGGACACTGTGGCACTGGACAGGTCAGCCCACCTGCTCCAGATCTGCCTGGACTTCCTCTGAGGGGACCCAGGATGAATTCATCCATCAAAGAAATGCCTGGCTTGCCTGAGGCCAATTAACAAGTGGGTGGGAACAGCTGTCCTTCCTGGCCAGGCCACAATCCTCACTGGCATTCTGAGTGTCCCTCTTCCTCTCTATTGAGAGAGACCCTCCTTCTCCCCAGGCCACCTTGGAAGGGTGGGGCATTCCCTGCTAGTCCCAGTCCCCCTCAGTGCTGGCTCCATTTAAGGCCTCCTGGCTGACCCCTTTGTCTTGGTGAAGCTGACACCAGTCTGGGATTAAGCCCAAGAATGTACCTGAAGCATTCCTAAGTTTTTTTTATCATCCACTCACCTGCTGCCTGTCCCACTAGGGGCTTCTAGGTATCAAGGCCACACTGGGGAGGGCCATTTCTAGGCTAGTTCTCAGGAGAGAGGCTGGGGGAGGGAATCCCAGGATATGCCTTTTGGGAAAATTTGACATGAAGGTGACCCCAGCTCTGTGGTGCCAGAGCTTACATGGCCTGCAAAGTTCAGACCAAGCAGCCACTGGGGAAGGAGCTGCCTGGGACCTCTTCATGGTGGATCTGATTTAAGAAGAGTCATGAAAGAAAGAACACAGGTTTTGGGGGCCCCATGGCTCTAGGTCAGATTCATAGCACCACCATTTCCTGGGACATACATTTTCTTTCATCCCTAAGCGTCGTCTGTAAAACAGGCATATCCCATGCCTCTGCAGATGCACAGGGAGAACCAAATGAGACAGCACAAGTAAGAAAGCGCGTCACAGTCTCACTCTGCACCACCTTCCCTGGTAACTGGTGAACATACCAGTGCTCCTGTGATAAGTACAATAAGCAATGGCTGTTCTTTTCTTCGACTCCCCTCTGATTAATCCTTACAGCATCCTTCTCATGATCTGAATTAGATCCCACATCACTGAAGTGCTGAGGTGCTGAGAGGCAGGGAGACATCTGGTTGGAAGTCACTCAATGTCACCAAGCAAAGCAGCTATGTCTGGCTGAGCGCTTTAGGTGCCATGTTCAGTGCTAAGACTTGGCACATCATTTGCAAATCGCTTTCATGGCAATCTTATGTGTTAGGTGGTGCTGAGGTCCCTGGTTCAAGATTAGAACTAAATTCAAGAGGGTCAGGCCCTTGGTACACAGCTGAGACAGCGTGTGGGGACTGCCTGACTTCACAGCTCTGCAGTTTGGCCTCCTGATACTATGAGACCGTGGCCCTGGGGTCAGGGGCTTGACTGCCTGGTTCTGGCTGTTCTGTGCCCAGCTTGAGGCGGCTCCCTGCCCACAACTTGACCCTGAGGGACAGGATAGATATAAGGTCACAGCCCAGGACTGGAGTCTGCTCTTCACGAGCTCTGCCAAATTAGGGGAGGATGGGGGTAGGATAGGCTCAGTCTGGGCAAAGACCCAGGTCCTCTGGATAAGAACCAGCTCCAGAAGATGCAGAGAGCTCAGTGCTATACTGTAGATGCTTGATTCGTTTTTCTCACAACCCCCCAACTTCCGCTAAAGACGTGCTGCCTTTCAACACATCTAAAATTATCACTCGGTCACTTCGATTAAGCACATTCACTTTTACATTGCTTCTGGGACACCATTTACTTTTTGGGAGGCATACTCTATTTCCACAAAATTAAGGGCAGAGAAACACAGCAGATTATAAAACATAAACGTGCATCAACTGAGCCGCATAAAGCACATGCAGGAATTTAAAGTTTTGTTTTTGGAATCTTTTTCGACTTTTTAAAATTTATTAATTTTTTTTTAGTGTGCTTGGTCAAAACTGTGCGTAATGAATCTGTGAGTAAGGCTTGCTGGATTTTCATAACTCAGAGAGGCCTGGTTCTCCGCGCACTGGTGAAACCAAGCCCAGAGGCTACGTAACAGACCCCGGATGTTAAAGTGGCAGAGCCAGTACTGGACCCAGGGGCTGACTAGCCCACCTTGTCCCACACAGACAAGTCCCAGCTGTGTCTTGAGGCACTGGGCACCAGGCAGGCATGGGTCACCCCGGGCTGGGACTTAGCTGTCTCTGGCATGCAGAGTTATTCCAACCCCACCTGCTCTGGTCCCCAGGAGACAAGCAGGAGGCTACTGCCTCTGTGCTGCCGAGGGATCCCGCCTAGGAGCTGCTGAGGGCCGTGAAGACAGGGCAGGTGTTAACCTAGCAACAGCTGTGACCCGGGTTGGCATGGGAGAGAAAGGCAAGGTATCCTTAACCTATGTATGTGCAGTCCCTGTCTTGCGTTCATATAAAGACACAGCTGTCTTACATCCACCAATTGTCAAATTAAGAGTCATCTTAATTAAGAACCATCTCATAAGAAGGTTTCTGTCCCTTTGAAAGTATCTGCCCTTTTAGATAGCTTTTTCTATTTTACCTAGTAGTATTTTGAGGATTAAAAAAAAAAAAACCTTAAGTATTTGTCAAATCTAAGTTCTGTCATTGATGGATGAATTAATTGGTTTTTCATGAATTGGCCTCTCCCAGCATTGTGGGTCCTAGGATAGAGCAAAGGTCAGCAGGAAAGGGTGATGGTCAGAGTCCAGCTGGTGCTGGGATTCCCTTTTGGAAGAGGACTACACGGGGTGAGTGGAAACTCAACAAACATTAACCAAGAATATGACCGTAAACAACACAGATGGGTTCTCACCTGAGGGAAAAACTACCGAGTCCAAGGGCAAAGGACTTTGGTCAGACGGCTCACACTGCGAGGGTGATTATCGGGAGGCACGCACAGAATAACTAACTGATAAGCTGTCATCACAGCTTTCATTAAATCACAACCTTTAAAATCTGATCTGGTGTGTCCAGCCTTGCTTCCTTTTGCTCACGACTTTCAAAATAAAGTCAGTAGTAGTGAAGAACTAAGCTGCAGCTTGAGGCCACAGCATAAGGACTGCAGCTACCTGCTCCGTGGCACCTGCACTGTGCCACACACATTGTGAAGACACTTCATATGTGTACACTCCCCAGCCTGGGTGTTACCCCATTTTATAGATGAACAGACTGAGGCTTGGAGGTCAGGAACTCGCTCAGCAGGATCCTGCACTGAGTGACAGGCAGACACTAACCCAACTCCAAGGTCCATGGCCTTCGAGGTCTGCCCCACCTCTCCTCTGACCAGGCCTGGCACAGTGCACATCTCCCTCTGTGGCCTACTAGTTGGTCCCCTGGCTGCTGCTTACCGAGTAGGTGCTTGATGATAGCCTGGTTATGTTCCCAAAGGTTGCTGAAGGTCCCCCAGCGTGAGTGGCCATCAGGCACGGGGTTGGCCTTGATCCAGCCCCCGCAGGCATAGCTGAAGAAGTCCTGGCAGGGGTCCACTGAGGGGTCCATGGAGCTCAAGATGGAGCTGGTCACTGAGATGCAGGCCTCGCTTAGGCACATGGGTGGTGTTCCTAGAAGGGTGAAGGACAAGAGGCCAGTGAAGGATAGCAAGGGAGGAGACAACAGGAGGGCAGCAATGGTGGCCTGGGACCCAGGGGACACAGTCCCACCTCTGTCCTGACCAAGGACACTTGGAATAGATGGTCACTAGAGCCCTAGTGAGACAGGACTTCAGGGGATCGATGGTCTTCCAGTTTGTAACATAAGACCTCCATTTAGCTGTGCCCTGTGCTCAAAAGTCCCGAGAACCAAGTGTGTTTCTTTCCAGCAATCTTTCCCTCAGGGAGAATCATTTTCTTTTTGGTGGTGGTGGCACTAGGTTGCCTACCAAGGGCTCAGTCACTTGAGCCACACACCATTTTGCTTTTAGTTTCCTTTACAGATAGGGTGTCATGCTTTTGCCTGGGCCAGCCTCAGACCACGATGCTCCTAGCAATGTCTCCCGTATAGCTGGGATTGCTTATGTATGCCACAATGCCCAGCTCAGTTTTTGAAATAGGGTCTCACTAACTTTGGCCCAGCTGGCCTCAAATGTTGATCCTCTTATCTCTGCCTCCCAAGTAGCTGGGATTACAGGTATGCACCACACTCACCCCTCCCCCCAACTTTTTTTATTATTCCCTGATACTCAACAAATTCATTCACTCATTCATGCATTCCACAAAATAAATACTGAGTGTCTTCCAGGTTCTTTACTGAGGACTGTGTGTGTGTGTGTGTGTGTGTGTGTGTGTGTGAGTGTGTGTGAGAGAGAGAGAGAGCGAGAGAGAGCGAGAGAGAGAGAGAGAGAGAGAGAGAGAGAGAGAGAACATAAAAGGCAAAAGCAAAGTCCTTTCCTTCAGGAGCTAGTAATTCAGCCAGGGATACTCACATTATATAAGAACAGTCAGAAGGCAACAGTAGGACAAGCTGCCACTCATTTTATGAAAACAACTGAATGCCGAGTGCCAAGTGGGTGATACAGACAATATGGTCCAGGACACAGACAGGGCGAGACTGTGAGGAAGGGAGGGCATCTGAACACAAGGACAGTAGGTATCTCAATGAATCCTCAGAAAAGCAAAAATGAAACCTAAGAGACTGGTTTGCCAGAGGCATGGAGAAGGGACTGACCCCTGCCTCAAGATTGGTCTGGGGGCTCTATCAAAGGGACTGAGCCACAGATGGCTCTCCAGAGGCTTGGCTGAGTTGAAAGACAAATCTGGTCTGAGGAGCCCAGGCCTGGCCTCATGAACTGTTGACACAAATCGAGCAGAGGATAACAGGCATGGTTCCCTGGACATGGCTCTGCACCAAGCATGTCACATGTACTCACCATCTCAACCCTCAGTATGGCATCAGATGCAGCTGTGATAACCGTGTGCAAAGATGAGGAAACTGAGGCTCTGAGGGAGTGACTGGAACAAGGTCACCCACCTCCAAGGCTGCATTTCTTGCTGTCCCTCTCCAACTTTGCTGACCACACCTGGGGCTGTGGCGGCCCGACTGGCAAGATCAGCTTCCCCCCCACACAGGGAAGCAGCAAGGCAGGGTGGCTTTGGGGACCATTAGCCCTGGGTTCGAATCTTGGCTTTCTGCTTCTGCTGTGGGCCCTTGTGCAAGTGACCTTATCTCTCCTAAGGAAATTAGTTCTCCAGCAGGAAATTAGGGAGGAGGAGGAGGATCGATTCCACAGTGATGATGGTGACCTCATGGCCAGGCACAGGGTTCTGCTTGCTCTGGACCCAGGCCTGAGGGTTGCAGGCTCATCTTCAGAAAGCAGGAAGGAAGGCAGGGCTGGTGTGTGTTGGGTCCTCACCTCACCCAGAGGCACATCGGCAGCCAAGCAGTGGTCTGACATGCAAGGTCCTCCAGGTGGGTGAAGGGCTCAGAGGAGTCACACAACAGGAGGAAAATCACCGTGACTTTATTTTGAGATAATTATTCAATAAAAATTTAACACATAGGGAATCTTTTTGTTTAGGTGCTGGTGATAGAGCCCAGGGCCTCAAGCATGCTCGATACACCTCAGCCCATGGGCGATCCTTTCTGTGAAGATGGGGATGCTGCCATTTGTAGTATTTCTTTTCTTTTTTAACATTGTCTCACTGTGTTGCCCAGGCTGCCTCAAGCTCCTGATCTTTCTGCCTCAGCCTCCCAAGTAGCTGGGATTTCTGGGATTATAGCTATGCACCACCTAACCTGGCTTCATTTGCAATATTTCTAGATCGCTCATCTAATCAGGTTTGTCTCAGTCCCCAACCTTGGGGATGGCCAGAATCTTTATGGAGGAGGAGGAAACGGGTTTCTGTGTAGTTTGAAAGAGTCTATTCACTATTATGATGTAATCTCATACTTGGAAAGGGAAAAGAATGCCTATTGTTTTTATATACCAAACCACAGGAAACCAAGCTTGACAAAATCTTGGCTGGTAGAAATACCCAGAAGATAGACTGCAAGGTGACTTGGGCTTAAAAACAATATGAAGGCTGGGCATAGTGGCTCATGCCTATAATCTTAGCTACTCAGGTGGCAGAGATTGGGAGGACCATGGTTCAAGTCCAGCCCAGGTTAAAAAGTTAGTGAGACCCCATCTCAACCCAACAAGCCAGGTGGAGTGGTTCAGTTCTGTAATCCCAACTATATAGGAGGCTGTAGGTAGAAGGATCTCTGTCTGAGGCTGGCTGCAAAAAGTGTAAGACAGTATCTAAAAATTATTAAAGCAAAAATGGCTGGGACTATGGTTCAACTGGTAGAGCACCTGCCTAGTGAGCATGAGGGGCCTGAGTTCAAACCCCAGTACCACTAAAAAAAAAAAAAAAAAAAAAAAGGAAAGGCAGGGACCAGTCCCAAATCTAATTCACTCATCTAGATAGTGCCTGGTCTCAACGACATCCAAGACACTTTAAAATACTTCCTGGGAGAGTTTATTGTTTGTTTTGCTGCTATTTGCAAAGCAACTGCAGGTTTCTAGAAGAGAAGGTGTAGCAGGAAGGTGTGTCAAAATACACTAAAGTGCGCAGACAAAACACAGAGGTGAGTTTTCTAGAATCATCCGAGGATTTGCTTTGACTGGCCAGATGTTTGCTCAGATGTGGCCAATGTCAGTCTTGCTGTTGCCTGGCCAGGTGGCCATTGCTTTCTCAGGTAGCCCTGGGGTCACCCAATCCTCTTCCAGGTCCAGGCTGGGGAAGACCCTTGTGAGGTCCCAAAGAGCTGGGACTGGCATAGCAGTGCTCCTCCCTCTGGGTCCCAGTTGGCAAAAGCAGCAGAACTGTTCTGGGTCTGACCCCAAGGATCTGTGTCTTGGGGACCCCTGGGTTGGTCTCAGGGCCACATGGTCTGCTGGAATCCAGCCTGCTTCCTGCATCCTGGGCCAAGAATCCGGCAGGTGGGGCTGACTGCAGAATGGTCAGAGCTAAATCTGATTTAGGATGAGGCAAGATTGCAGCTGTACTGTACAGTGGGCTTGCACACACACACTCACAAAAACACACTTGCACACTTAAATGCACGCCTTGTAGAGAAAGGCGGTTCCCAACTCACTCCTTCTCACTCCTCTGTTCATTTAGTCACTTGCTCATTCGATTTACTGTCTGCACACCTATGGTGCGCTAAGCACATATGGTTAAAGGCCTGGAAACTAGTAATTACTTAGTCAAATACGCATTAAACACCTGCTGGGCCAGGCACATTTGGTAAAATGTCTATAAGCCATTAAATAGTCAGTTAAATAATCAAGCAACTATTTCTTAAGTACCATGTAGGTACTTAGCTCAGAGTCTGACACAGAGTAAGCACTCATTAAATGTTTATGGAATGACTAACTGACATGTGCCCCACATGGGAGGGGTTATGAGGATAACTCAGATGAAACTCCTGTCCTCTCTCTAGGTTCCCAAGGCCCTTCCATTCCAGTTCAGCATGGCCAACCTCAGGCCAGCAATTTAGCAGTGGGGAAGGCTGAACACAGCCACAATCTCTCTGACAGGGTGAGTGACCAAGTCGGTGGGTGGGACCCTGACCAAAATCCCCCTCTGGTTGCTCAGTCAGATGGACCATCAGAAAGTTAGGAAGTTGGGAGGCAAGAAAGTTGAGAGTACCTGGACTGGTTGGATTCCTTGTCCTCGGTTTTAGCTTGGATCTGCCCTTTCTAGTTGCCTAAGTGCTAACTGAACAAGGAGGCTGACACAGAGAGCCGGCCTCAGACCCCTGATGGCCACACTAGGCAGAACATGCATGTATAGAGGTACATAAAGGCCCTGGAGCCCAGAAGGACAGCCTCTCTGGGGGTATGGTGCAGGGCCTGAGCTCTGACTCCTCTGGGGCCTGGTGGTCTGTGTGCAAATTCCATCCCCCATGCAAATCTCCACTCAAGAGGTGCTGGCAGAGGAGATGTCAGTAAAGAGAAGCTAGCAGTGCTGTTTCACTGGGATTATGATGGCAGGCAGCGTGAGCCTATGTCCAGCAGCCACGGTGGGTCACTTCTTCCCTCATTTAAAGTGAGAAGACACAGGCTCTGGGGAATTGACTTGTCCAAAGTCACACAGCCATTACGTTGCTGGACCAAGATGTGGACTCATGTCCTTCTGAATCCCAAGCCTTTGTGCCAGTCACACCACCCACCTCAGCACCTCTAGACCTGACTTCCTCCTTGTCCTTGGAGACCAGTCCTGGCTTGAGCAGGAAAGTCCATCTAGCACAAGTGGACAGAGCAGAGAACAGAATGAATCAGGCCCACTACAAACACAGAAGCACCTACTTGTTCGGTACTGGATGCCCAGTGCTGCCAGGCAGGCCACCAATCCTGCTGCCAAAAGTGCCACCAACACCACCAGCCGCTTCTCCACCTGGGTCCGCGCTGCCCAGCACCTCTGGTCACTCCGGGGGCTGCGGAAGTTCACCTGCAGGGAAGGGGGCAGGGAGGGTGGGGTGGACGTGAGCCCAGGATGCCCCCACCCCAGGAGGAGGGGGCTCTGAGGCAGGCCCAGGCCTCGGGGAGGCATTGGGCTGCCCTCCTGTCTCAGGGGTGGTCCAGTTCCCACAGAATTAGTCCTAATCCAGGAAAGGAGCCACCACCCTGGCCAGTAGCTGGGATTTGCTCCCACACATGAGACAGCAGCTCAACCCAGCTGGGTTTGAGTTTTCTGTGTCACCCGATATGGGTAGAGGAAAAAAAAAGTTTCCCTGTTTCTCCAGAAGGAGCTCAAAAAAGAACAGGATGTTTGGACTTCAGGCAGCCAGTGGGCGGCCAGCTGGGCTTGCCTTAGAGCCCCACGTCCACAGGGCTGAGGACAAGAGTGACATACCATAGCTCATGTGTTCCCCAAGCAAGGACACACTTAGCTCCTTAAGCCCTCACAATCCCACCAGAGCTGACTTTTTGGTTCTCTTTTTATAATGGGGAAACTGAGGAACAGAGGGGCGAGACCCTTGCCATTCATCACATAGACCAATGGGGAGTGCTGGGAGTTGAACTTGGATCTGTAGATTCCTCAGTCCCCCAGTGGGTCAGCGTGGGTCTAGGGAGATGTTGAGGAGACAAGAGGAGAAATAGCTCCATTCAGGCAGTTCCTCAAAGGGAGGAGAAAGGTCCCCCACCTCGCTGTCTAGCTAAACAGGAAAGCAGGCACAATGAGGGGAAATGGAGGGCGTGGTGGGCCCCTGGCTCCAGGAGAGACACGCCTGCCAACAGCGCTTGGGGACCTCAGCCCAGGCCCTTCACACCCAAAGCCAGCTCAGGGTCCCCTATTCCAAGAGGTGCTTCCTCCAAAAGCCAGGGCCACAGGACAGGGAGGCTCTCCTGCAGGCAGGGTTTGTTAATGACACTGAGGCCTGTACAAACAGCTGGGCACTCAGGGCTATGTAGGAAGATGGGATCCTTTGCTTTCAACTGTTCCCAGCCCATAGGGAGGCAGAAAGACTGGAGTGGGCAGGGGTTCAGTCAGGGAAGGCTTCCTGGAGGAGGTGATGTCTGGGTTGGGTCTTAAAGAATAAAAGTTGCTAGCAAGGGGTGTAAAGTGTAAGCTAGGTTAAGAACATAGACTTCCTCCTGAAGACTGGAGAGACAGGACAGGATTAGATTTGCCCTTTGTGAAGGATAAGGAGCAGGGAGTGAGGCTTGTACCTAAAGTGGCTCTCACAGCCCTTCCAAGGGACATGAGAAGACCAGGCTCTGACCTGCCAATGCTCCACATGGCTGAGGATGGGCTGCTCCCAGAGCTGGGTCAGAACCCGGAGGCCACCCACCCTGGCACCTGGAGGGTGGGCCACCTAGGGAAGGGCACTGTGGCCATGGCTGGGTCTCTCTCCTCTGGGCAGAAGTGACCAGGAATTGCTGCACCAGAGCGAGGGGAACAATGGGAAAACTGGCTTCTAGAACTGAGAAAAGAATCTTGAGGATTGGTGACAGTTCTGTAAAGACAGGAGGCTGACACCACAGCAGTGGCCAGGTAAAGGGAGGCTATCTGCTAAAAATCTCCTAGGAATTTTCCAGCAAGTGTTCTACCACTTGACTCATGTTCCCAGCCCTTTTTTTCTTTAGTTTTTAGATAGGTCTTGTATTTTTTGCCCAGGGCTAACCTGGACTGAGATCCTCCTACCTCTGTCTCCGGCATAGCTAGGATTACAGGTATCAGCCACCGAGCCCAGCCTCCCTAAGAATGTTCTTAAAACTGGGAGAAGCAAAGCTTTCACGTGAGAGCCTGGTGCAGAAAGAGATGGACTGAGAAGCTACTCACATGGAAAATTTATAAAGTTTTTTCTCAGCCATTAATTCTCTCTCTCAGTTTACCCTGGGCACTGGTATTCAGAGGCTTCTAGGGCTCACCTAGAGACTCTGATGCTAATGCCCCTCTGCCTGGTTGTCCTTCTGCCCCTGGACTATCTCAGCTTCTCTCCTCCTCCTCTCCCTTCTCCTCATGGTCCTATGACCATGGCTTGGCTTGCAGTGGGCAAAAAGGCAGCGAGACCTGGGCTGAACAGCTGCCCGCTCTAGGGAGCTGGAGGACACGGTTAGGTGGGGAAAAGCAGGGAAACCCCACCTTATTGGGACGTAGACCTGCTGTGGGATGCAGCCAGGAGCAAAGGTGTCTGAAGAGGTGACAGAGAGGAGGAAGCAACAGGAGGCAGAGGAAGGAAGGAACAGGGAGGAAGGGGAGGAGAAAGATGCTAAGATATTCAAGGGCTGACCAGTCCCCCAAACCCTGTGCATTCTATTCTGTTGCTAGATGGTGTATTCTGTCTTCACAACGACTCTTAGGGTAGGTAGTAGTCTAGCTCCAGGAGAGACCGGAAAGGGAAGCCAGGGGCAGCAGAGGAGAGGGAACATGAGCCAAACCATCTCTCCATAGTGGGCAGGGCAGCCTCGTCCCCTCGAGGGCAGCAGGCCATCAGATTGAGCTCATTGTTCCATGCCAGGCAAAGTGTTAAATCTAACCAGATGGAGCTCGCTGTAAATTAAATTAGAATTGAGCCAGAACTGAATTAAAAATTCATCACTCCAAGCAAAAATGGTAAATGGAATTTGAAGAGAGAATCTTTAACCTCTGTCCTGTTCTTTAACCAAGAGTCTCTTAGTTTCTAGACAGGCGTCACCTCTGGGGGCAGAGTGAATCCTGAGTGGCCCCCTGGGGCAGAAGTCACTTGGAGGCAGTGGGCTTGAACCAGGAGAGGCTAGCATTTCTGGGCTGCATCAGGACAGCACTTTGCTCCTTACACCATCTGGCCTTGGCCCTTTTCTCTGAGACCCTATTGCACCTGCCCTGCCTCCCTTCCAGTACCCTGGAGAACAGCCCATGAGATGATGTCACAAGCAGGGATGTGATGATCTCTCGCTTTCCTTTTGGAAATAAGAGCTTGTCAGTCGTGGGAGACCGGGCTGCTTGGAGGGTTGGTGGCGAGCAGCCCAGTCCATCTGGGGAGAGGTAACCGGCAAGTGGCCGTCAGCCAAGGAGAATGGTTGATGCTCGCAGGATGGAATTTGGGGTCACCGGGCTTCATTGTCTACTTATCACCATGTGAGGCCAACAGAAATAAAAGCAAGAGCGAGGTGCCTTCCAAAGATGAAGATGGAGAAGGCAATTGAGCAGGATGAAGCTCGAGCCAGAGAGGCAGAAGTGTGAGAAAGCGCCAAGCTGCCGGGTCACTGTTCCCAGGGTTGGCACAGCCAAGGGAACAAAAGCCTAATCAGGGATAAATATTCGGTTACAGAAGTGAGAGTGTGGCTCACCTCGGCCTGTAGCAAGAACGGGTTCTACAGGGGAGGACGGGCACCTGCCTGGGGCCCGGGAGACAAGCTGGCAGCTCCAGGGTGGGAGCCGGGCTCAGCCTGTTTCAGTGGGATCAGGAGGGAGGGTTGCTCTTTCTGAGCTGCCCCAGGGCCCTCAGTGACTGCAGGGAGCAGCAAAGAGGAGTCATCTGCCGAGGGTTTGGCGGGAAGTCCACCCCTACAACCCAGAAGCCCGGCAGCATGAGGGCGGCCGGGGGCCAGGCTGTCTGCCTCTGAACCAGTCTTTCAAAGTAGACAGAGCGTGACAGCTTAGCCTTGAAGGGCCCCTGCCTCTGTAAGGGTGTCTATTTAGGGGAGTTTCTTCCAGTAAAGTTTCTATGAGGTGGACATCCAGCTGAGGACACTGGGTTCAGCCCAGAGCAAAACTACAATGTTCTCCCACCTCTGCCAGAGTCCTACCTGCCACCTTCCCCATGCCTGACTTTCCTCAAATGACTGGTGACAGCTGCACATACTCCCTGTTGCAGGGAAGGGAAATGGCCCCTTAAGTAGCATCCCAGCCTGGCATTTAGAGGAAGTGCCCCCAGCTTTCTTTGCTTCCCAGAAGGAAGCAAAACTCTCCTGGCACGTAGGAGAAAGATCAAAAAATCTCAGAAGTCAAAGGTCAGCCAAACCCTGCCATGGGTGCCAAGGCAGCCTCTGGGCCTCACTCTCCCTTCCTAAAAGTAGGAAGCTGGGATGAAGCTCCAAGTGTGACCATTTCAGAGTCTAGAATCTTCATTAAAGAGTCTGGTGCTCCAGTACGTGGACAGAGATAAAGTACCTCCTGGCATGGGGGAGTCTTCCAAGTATTAAGTAGTCCTGTCCCCAAAGTCACTCTCCAAGGACCACGCTATGCATGGTGCAAAAACATGAGAAAACCATCACAGAGGAGGTAAGTATTTCAGCTTTCCTTCTTCAAAAAAAAAAAAAAAATTACGAGAGTTGTGACTCAAAGGTTTTGGTCACAGCCATGAATGCCCCAGGCTGGCTGCAGGTATGACCTGGGCTATTCCCTTTCCAGGCACTGCAATGCTGTGAGTTCAGGTACAGGGGGGAACCAGGCAGCTGGCAGAGCAGAGGCTTTAGTGCGGGAAAACACCTCTTCCAGATGAGGTGCAAGTAGAACTTTGTCCCAGCTAAATTCACCACTGTATCAACCCATCTGCCAACCCACTGTAATAACAGGGGCAAGTCTGGCTGGGAGATGGAAATTGTAATGTATTTGTTATTGGCTTCCTAGAGCTAAGAGGCTCCAAAAATCCTTTTTTTTTGGACAGTACTGAGGTTTGAACTCAGGGCCTCACGCTTGCTAGGCAGGTACTCTACCATTTAAGCCACTTCGCCAGCCTGAGCTTTAAAAATCTTGAAAAATCAAAAATTTTTATAGCTGTCAATCAAGAGAGAACATTTTGAGGTGCAGGGTCCATTTTTTAAAAAAAGTCTAAAATTGGGCAACTGTTTCTAGCAACCAGCCACAGGGAATAATCTGAAAGGCTCAAAGATGGTCACCCACAGTGTGGTAGCAATTGGGCTTAATTGTGCAACTATACTGGACTGAATAATTATATATATATATATATATATATATTGGAACCACAGTGTTAGGATTTTTAAGGTAGCATTAAAATTGGAAGTTTTTAACAACATAGAAAATACTTAGGAAGTGCATTGAGTGAAAATTCAAGCTGTAACAGTACATCTGCAAAGTGAGTGCAATCGTGTTTAAAAATAAATACAAACGGGCCAGGTGTGGTAGTCCATACTTTTAATCCCACCAGAGGAACAGGAATTCTAAGCCAGCCTGGGCTACACAGTGAGATCTTGTCCAAAAAAAAAAGGAAAACGAAAAAAAAAAAAAGAAAGAAAACTCTGCCTTGTAAATTGAGGTGGGTGTGTGGATCTTGATTGAGCAAAGCCAACACTGGCCGGCTCCGGTTTGCTCTGGAGAAGTCTTGGAAGCTCCAAGCATGCCAAGCAGGGAACCCACAAAAATGCCCCAAATCCATGGGCAGCCTTTTGGATTTTTCTGCATGAAAAGTGGAAAACAGCTTGGTGTGGGGACACCAATACTGAATTTCAGCCCACACAATAGCGATGTGACCACAGGAATGTCCCTAAGCTTTCTCTGTGCCTCAGCTTCGTCATCTGTAACATGACTACATCAGCGCTTACCTCACAGGTCATAAAAACAACAATCCTAGCAAGCTCCACAACACGCACCATGTCCACTTTCTCCAGTCTATTTTACAGATGAGCAAATCAGGACTGACATTTAACAGCTTGCTCAAGGTCATGAGTGGAGTCAGAATTCACACCTGGGTCCCTGGCATAGAAGGGGGCTCCCTGCGTTCTGCAGGCTGTAAACCAGAGTGGGTGGCTGTTATGACAACAAGGCAGATTATTTTGTGGTGAATTTTGAGAGGCTTTTGTGCTGATATATTTAGAAACCTCTGTGGAAGATGAGACTGAAAAAGATCACTGATTAGATTGTTTTGATTTGAGCAGAAAAAGTGCCCACCACAGAAAAATAATTTCCTGTTGGGTTTAACCTCTTAGGAAGGGCTCAGGGGAAGAGGCTCTAGAAAGATTGGCTTCTTGCAGGGTTCTAGCTCTGTGACTGACCTAAGGCAAGCCTTCTCCTCTCCCAGAGCCTCAGTTTCCCCATCTGTACCAGTAGTGGCCCTTAAGGTTGAGGAGGATGTGCCATATCCTAGAGGGTGGTGCACCTGCGATCATGAGTTCCGATCTCTCTGGCCCTATTTAACTGACCTGAAGAAGGAACACAGGAACTCAATTAACCTGCTTCCCTTTGTTGCCATTCTAATTCCAGCTCTAAGGGTTGTGTCTGCCCAGAGGGGGGCTGGTCAGCCTGAGTTTCTACTCTTTCTAAGCTTCAGGTGTGGGTTCCCCTGGCCGCCCCAGGACTCTCTCTCCTGCTTTCCTTGCTCTCCTGGTAGAAGTCCTGGACTGAGGGGTCCCAGTTCCTCTCTCTAGGCTGGTTTCTCAGCAGCCAGATCACACCTAACCTGGGTGTTCACATTTCCAACTTGTTCCCACCTACCTGCCCAGGTTCAAACCCAACCCGGGCAAAACCCCAGGTTGGAGGGGCACAGCCTGGCTCACAGACCCTGCTGGAAGGTGGGAAGATGGCCAGGTCTCCGTTGTGAATTCAGTTCTCACGGGGAGAGGGGACGGGGTGGGGGGGGGAAGATGGAAGAGGGGGAGGATGTGGGGGGGTCGTCTCTGGTGAGGAGGAACTGGGCTTCTAGAGTGGGCTGGAAAGGGCGGGGGGTGGGAACAGATTGAAGCCCTGTTCAATTCAGGCGGTAGTGGAGGGGAGGGCAGGAAGAAAGGGGTAAGGCCTCCCTGATAGAGCGACTAACTTTCCTGGTGGCCCAGGACTGGGCGTGGGTCCCAGGGATGCGGAGCTTTTCGTGCTAAAGCTGGGGCAGCTTTAGACGGCCAGTGACGGGCTGTGTGACCCTGGGCAAGTCCCTCGGCACGGGGGATGGCCTCTTCTAGGAAAGAGCAACCGAATCACTTCAAGTCTGGAGGGGACTTCAACTCCGCCTGGGCTGTGGCCCCAAGCAGGTGGCCGGGAGGATCTGGGGCCGGGCAGGAGCGGGGTGGCGGACGTCGGCCGGGGCGTTCGCGGAGCTGGGGCTGCGGGCTGGGGCTGCGGGGCGCGCGGGCGGGCGGGAGGGGGCGGGGCGGCGCCAGCGCGCATGCCCGGGCCGGGCCGGGCCGGGCGCCTACCTGCAGGCCGTTGGGGTAGACGTCGCCCTCGGAGAGTGAGTCCACCAGGTCCTCCTCGTCCAGCGTGGCCCGCTTGTAGGTCGACATCTGCAAGGTCAAGTGCAGCACGGATTCCCTCAGCGCCTCCATGGCTCGCGCGCCCGAATGGGGAAGCGGCCCGGGCGCCGCCCCGCCCCGGCCCGGCCACCCGAGACCGGCCCACGGACCGGCCCCCCTCCTGTCCCCTCCCCGCCCCCCGCCTCACCCCCAGCGCCGCCAGCACCGCGGCCACCGGGGGCGGCGGCCACACGCTCCGCATGCTGCGCCCCGGGACGCCCGTCCCCGCGCCGCCACCTCGGCCGCGCGCTGCCCGGGGCGGGCCGGGCCCGCAACGCGCCACCTTCGCGGGCGGGGCCTGATGGCTTCTCTCCGCTGCCCTCCCCGCCTCTGGGAGCCCTGCGGACCAGGGGAGCCCCTTCGATCCCCAGAGTCGGGAGCCTGGCCCCAACAAGGCCCTCGCAGGCAGAAAGGGACTCACAGAGCCCCTCCTGAGAAACTTCAGGGTCTTTTCAATGATGGGGTCCCCATGGCAGGTACCGAAAGTCAAGATTAGAGAAGCCTGGCAGAGAAAGAGAGGTCCCCCCACTATCAGCCCGTAGAGGGGCTATGGGGGGGTCTCCTCCATCTAGCTAGAAAGACTGGGGGGGAGGAAAGTGGAATAGAAAAGACGTATCTCTCTCCCCCTTTAGCTCAAGAGTTTTTAAGACAGGGTTCCTGAATGAATTTCAGAAAACCCCAGGGAACTCCCCTGACCGAATGAAGAATGCTGTGCGCATTTGGGTGGCTGAAGGGTAACGCAGTGCTTGCCACCCTCTCCCAAAGGTTCCACCCACACCCCAATTAAGACTCACTGCTGGCAGGGCTCCTGTGGCTCACGCCTGTAATCCTAGCAACTTGGGAGGCAGACATCAGGGGGATCACAGTTTGAAGCCAGCCGGGCAAAGAGTTTGTGAGACCCTATCTCAAAAACACCTAACTCAAAGGCTAAGTAGGGGCTGGTGGGGTGGCTCAAGAAGTAAGAGCTCCTGTCTAGCAAACATGAGGCCCTGAGTTCAAACCCCAGCATCGCAGAAAACAAAACAGAAAAAATTTTTTAAAAGCAAAAAACAAAACAAAAAAACAAAGGCTCAAGTGGTCGAGTGCCTGCATAGCAAATGTGAGGCCATGAGTTCAAACCCCAGTACTACCACCAAAAAAAAAAAGACATTGCTTTAGGCTGGGCTGGGGGTATAGCTCAGTGGTAGAGCACTCACCTAGCTTGTGGGGCTCTCAGTTCCATCTCCAGCATCACAAAAACAAACAAGACCTCATAGACTTGGGGTAGGTCAAAACCCAGGAAGGTTGCTATGGTCAATTAAAAATTAAAACATAAAAAGAAAAAACCCAAGAAAGTGACCTTGGCTTTCACCTTCTCTGTCAGGAGTACAGGTTCTCCTTCCCAGGCCCTTCCTTCACACCTACTGTGACCCCAGACTGAAAGAGTGGGCTCTGTCAGTGTCAGGTCGCCAGGTAGGGACTCAGCCCCAGCGCTCTCCCTTCCACCCCAGGACCCCAAAAGGCCCAACCTAGCAATTCCAGAGGACACTCCCACTTCTAGTAAGACATGGAATCTCTACTTAAACATACTTTTCAGCTCTCCAAAGCGCATTTTTGCTCACTCTCAATTTGATTATCATAGTCACGCATTTGTCTAAATGGACAGGCTGGAGAGGCAAGGTGAATGCCCAAGGTCTCAGAGTCAGTGACAACAGTGACTCAGGGTTTCCCAGTGCCACCCCTGCCCTCATACAGCCCACTTTGCAGCCACAGCCAGCCTTTTTAAAAGCAAAAATCTCACCTTGCCACTCCCTCCCTTAAAAGCCTTTGGGTGACCCTGGCATAGCATCCCCTCCCCCTCCCTGGCCCTTTACCTGAGGCTCCTGACCCCATTCAGTTGCCCAAGCCCAGATACTTTCTTTGGCTTTTTAAATTCAGTTTCTCAGATACCCCCAGTTGCCCCTTCTCCCAAGACCTTTGTAGCTGCTGCTCCCTCCATCTGGAACATTCTTTTCTCTCTGCTCCTCCCACAGCCAGCTCCTGCTGCAGGTCTCGGCTTAACCGCCACCTCCTCAAATGTCCAGCCACCTTGAGTAGCTCCCACACTCTCTAGTACAGCAGCTGGCTTGTTTTCTTGTATGCTATTTATTGCAGTCTGTTAAACTTGTTTTGTTTTGAGACAAGGTCTCCCTATGTAGCCCAGGCCTCAAATTCTCCTGCGTCTGCCTGCCAAGTGCTGGGATTGCAGGTGTGCTCCATCACACCCTCCCAGCAACAGTCTGTAAGTTTTTAAGCTTTTTATGTCTTTATTATCTAGCTCTCTTCCCCTTCCCAGAATGTGTGAGCTTTACTACAGTGGCTGGAACCTTGTCCCTTGTCCAGCCTGTCCAACAGACAATTCACCTGGCATACAGCAGGTGCTTAATAAATACTGTGGTGGAACGGTGTGTTTGGTGTGGGGGGAATGCCTTTATATTCTCATGAGCTCTCTTGCTCTAACTTTGTACTGCCTAAGAATAAAAGAAATATGTCCAATGAGCAGAGGTCCTGGGGGAGGGAGCTGTGTAGGGGGAGGGGTCTTAGCTCTTGGAACTTTTGCCTTATTCCCACTGGGTGGAAGAATTCCCATTAACTCCCTCAAGAGAGAAAGGACTTGAAGGCTAGGTTATAGCTGGGGTCCCTTCCTTCCTTCAATTTGAACTCAAGGCCTTGAGCTTGCTAGGCAGGTACTCTACCATTTGAGCCATGTCCCCGGCCCTTTTCTGCTTTAACTATTTTTCTAATAGGGGCTCACATTTTTGTCTGGACCAGCCCCTGACAGTGATCTTCCTACCTATGCCTGTCACAAAGCTGACAGTCCTACTGACCTCTACCTCCATTTTAGCTGGGATTATACTAATGTACCATCATACCCAGCCTATAACTGGGGTTTTTCTAAAACAGGATACTTGTTACACTAAGTGACAGGTCTCAATCACCAGAGGCAGAAGCCCTTGCAAAGGAATTTTGATTCACCCAACACCACCCTTGGACACCTAAGTAGGTGAGGCGTTTGTCAATTTCTTTTCTCCCACCCTTCCCTTTCAGTCTCTTATCCTTCCCTGTTTGTAGGTACCATCGGCCCCATTTATGGAGAATGAAACTGAGGCACAAAGAAGTAAGTTGCCATGAGGTTGAGCAATGGACCCTCCTCCTTCCATCTCATTGCAGAGATCTCCCCTTCCAGGAAGAGCTCCTGACCTCTCTTCCCCCACCCTAGGCAGCTCTGCTCCTCCACAGGTCCCCACACAGCACCCACCATCCTGTCATCAGGAGCACAGAGCACTCTAGGATGGGGAGCCCCAAAGGCAGAGGCTGGGCCTGTGCCGGGAGCCTCTAGATGTCTGAGCAAAGCAGCCCAACTGGATGGCCATGTGGGCAGGGCCAGGCTGCCCTGCACCCACACGCTGAAGATCTGAGGCTGGACAATGTAGGAAGAACTCAAGTCCCGGAAGGCGAGTGACATTCCAGCAACAATGCTTACCCCATCTTTGGACCTGCCAGGTCCTCTGCTCACCACTCACCATCTTGCTGGATCCTTACAGCCACCTGGGCTGGCTTCAAAGGTGACTTTTCCATTTATAGGCAGGGGAAGGGGGTGGGCTGAACAGACCCAGAGTGCCTGGTCCCTCTCAGGCCAGAACCCTCACCCCCACCCCTTTGCAAATGAGGCAGCTGAGGCTCAGGAGATGGAGAGGCATGGAGCTGAGGGAGCCAGGATGTGAAGTTCCAGGTCTCCCTGAAAATCTGCCTGTAGACTTCATTGTGTTGCCTCCAAGAGCCCAGCCACACAGCCAGCAAGTGTTAGAGTTGGGCCTTGAATCTATGCCCTGTGTAGAAGGCGGGGCTGCTTCTTTAGGTGGGGACCACACAGAGTCCCGGGGCCCTGGGAAGACCCAGCACTTATCTCCCTAATGGCCTCATTTGTGGTTGTGGATGCCACACCCAGCCCGCAAGCTTCAGGAAAGCAGAACAGCAGTGGCTCTTTGGGGAGCTTCCTCCTTGCTCAGCCAGCCCTGTGGAGAAAGCTGGGCTGCATCTGGGCCTGGTGCTCACAGGAAGGGCTTGGCCGAGATCAGGAATGGAGAAGTGGGAATCACAGCTCCCAGCAGAATGTGGGTCCCCAGTTCCCAGAGCCCAGCTGCACAGGCAAAGCGATGCAAAGCAGATGAGGGTGTGTGTACCAGCTCTGGAATCCCCGCCCTGTGGAAATCGAGGGCCCAGAGTGAACAGAAATAAGAAATACAAAGGCTCATGTGTTTCTGATGACAAATGCCCCATAGCCTGGTGGCACCCAGGCACACCCCAATAGTCCCCACAGGCGTTGGCCACTCAGTGACTCTTGTGGTTGGTTTGCTGAAGGCAAGGGGTCTTCAGGGAATCTTGGAGCATGTCAGAGGCGACAAGGAGAGGCCTCATGAGTGAAACTCTGGGCCTGGCCACACCCTGCAAGCAGTTTCCATGTTGGTTCTCAGCCTCAGCTCCTCAGGGTGGCCACAGGCCCATCAGGCCCTGTTTCTGGTGTCAATGATTGGCCAGGACCTTTTGATCCTTACGTGTCATTTAGCACGCACTTGCGTTACCTAAAGACTTCTATCTATCAGGCACCGAAACATAGGGGCTGGAAGCTCTGAACCCAAACCTCACTTCAGGTCCCCACTCTGTCATCACCCAGTTGTGACTCAGTCTCTCTCTGACTCAGTTTTCTCCTCTGTAAAATGGAGGTGACTTAAAATAGCACCTCCCTCCTAGGACTGTTGTTCTTAAACGAATAAGTATAAAGTGTTGAAAACAGTGCTGGGCCCACAGCAAGTTTATACCTTTTACTTATTATTTGTATTGTCTTTCCTCAGAAAACAAGGCTCAAAAGCCCTCAATGGATACCTACTACCTCAAGAACAAAACTCAACCCCCTCGGATTGGCATTCAAAGGCTCCCTCAATGGCTAAAACCTCTCCAGGTCCATCCTCCATATAACCTTTCAGGTGTGTGGCCATGGCCCTGACCCTGTCTTACCTGTATAGGTGAATTGACTGCTCATCCCAAGTTCACCTGGTCATGGCTGTCAGCTGGAGGGAGCCTGAAAACTTGTCCTCCCCATCCCCAGGGATCTGAACCTCCTCTGCAAAGATCAGTGACCCCTCCACAGTTATTTCTTGACACCGTGGCTGCCTCCTCCTCCAAGAAGCCCTCCCTCCTCCAGCGAGCTCAGCACAGTGCCTGCAGTGTATGCAGGCCTTTGTCCAGGGGTCTATCCCCAGATGGAGAGAACTAGAGGGGATGGGCAGCCATCATTTCATCCCTT